CGACGTACATGACTGGTTGTGCTGGTTGGATTGTCACGGTAACGGCCATATGTACATTGATGGGGCGAGTAAAAAGGCACGAATCGGCAGAGGAAGACAAGAGAACGAAGACGAACGACAAGCATAGCATGCATGCCGGGATGAATGAGAGGCAAGACAACAACAATACCAACGACAACATCACCAACAGCAGCAACAGCAGCAACCACACCAACACTACCAACACACCACCACCGACAACAACAACAAGAACGAAATCAGCAACAACAATAACACCCTCCCGTTTGGCTTTTTTTTTTTGCGGTAACAATGAATGGTGGTCGAGTAGATTATTGTGCGGGGTCGAGAACCCTCACCCCGCGCAAAGGGGATGATCGCACCACGTTGTGTTAAATTGGCCAAGCACCCTCGAGACAGTTGCAAAGTGCTTACAACTGTCTCTGGAAGCGAAAGCACCAGAAAATAAATTAAGTCATACACAGCTGTCACCCGTATGCAAGGAAGTAAGCACAGGATGCCGAACACTCTCAGCAGGATGCAGCGCACCCTTCATGCGACTCGCCGAATACCTCACGGCGCTTCGCGCTTGGTGATGTCAGAGCCTGGTCCGGCGCGAACCAGGCGTGCTCCGTCCCGGCTTCGTAGGGGTGCGAGGTCAATAGTCTAACGACTACGGCATGCACGACTATGAGTAACCCCCCCCATCCCCCCGATGTTTGCCATCGGGGTTGGGTTTTCGTCGCTTGGCAGCGATGTTGTAAAACAAACCAATCACTTCGTGAGCTCGGCAACCAGGTTAGCGCTTTTTTTTTTGCCTTCAGTTTTTTCTTTTTGCGGTAACCATGAATGGTGGTCGAGTAGATTATGTTGTGCGGAGTCGAGAACCCTGACTCCGCGCAAAGGGGATGATCGCACGTTGTGTTAATATTAGTCAAGCACCCTCGAGGCAGTCACACACCGCTTACAGCTGTCTCTGGAAGTGAAAGCAGCAGAAAATAAATCAAGTCATACGCAGCTGTCATCCGTAGGCAAGCAAGTAAGCACAAGATGCCGAACACCCTTAGCAGGATGCAGCTCACCCTTCATGCGACTCGCCGAATACCTCACGGCGCTTCGCGCTTGGTGATGTGAGAGCCTGGTCCGGTGAGAACCCGGCGTGCTCCGTCCCGGTCTTTGTAGGGGTGCGAGGTCAATGGTCTAACGACTACGGCATGCACGACTATGAGTACCCCCCCCCCCCCCCCTCCCCATCCCCCCGTACAGGATATCCAAGCGAAGCGTCTGCCAGGGTACATGTAACGTTTAGCCCTCGCCGCCTTACCTGGTCCCGGCTCCTCCACAGCGGTCTGTTCCCCGCTCTCCAAGTCCCAGAATCGGATGCAGCTATCTATCGAACTTGACACCGCCTCTGTGGGTCACGGGCAAGCATCGGCGGGACGATCCGTGCGTGAACGTATTCGTGTGTGTGCGTGTGAGAAGAAGTGGGCAGGGGGCGGGTCGCGGGTTGCCGTGTACTTGAGAGAGATGGTCCAAGCGGCAGGGCACCGTACTCGAGAGAGATCTTGGGATTCTACGGTACAATGCCGAAACTCAGGGGAGCGCACAGGAAAGCAAGCGCCGACGATATGGGTCGGTGTTCACGTGCCGCACCGAAGCTAGACGAGGTGCACCCCGAGAACCGCGGGAAGCACTTGGCCTCAACCGAGCAGCCTCAGCGCAAGCCGGTACATACCCCAAGACCCTTCGATAAGCGTGTGCGGAACCACCCCTGCCCAACGATGGTTTCGAACCAATTGATTCCCTCACAGATTCGGCAGCAAGCAAGCCGTTTCAGCCTCCACCTCACGGCTTCAAGCCTCAACTGCCTTTTCCTGCCACCCTCCTTTTTCCTACCGCCGCCGGCGTGCTCCGTCCGCCCAACCACCCAGCCAAACACAACGCGCGCCCCGCGCCCCACTCCGGCGTGTCCGCAACAAGCGACGCCTCTTCACCTTTGCCGTGGTTGAATGCCCGAACGCTCAAGACCCCTAAACGGTGGCCGTTGAGAGAGTGCACGGGGGCCAACTCCGAACACCTATGTCGAGGGAAGAAGAACAAAACAGGGGGTGGGGGTGCAGCGAAGCGGTGCCACGGGCTTGACTTGTGTTTGTGGACACTCCACAGACAAATGTTCCCTAGGCATATCTACCGCAGTTTCTACCATGGTTTCTTGTCCCGGACGAAACGGAGGCGTGGGAGGGTGGGGGCTCCGGAGGACACCCTAACGGCCCTAATGGACACTATCCTCCCAGGGAAGCAGCCGCCACTCTCCATGTAATTACAGCCGACTTTGACTTCGTTGCCAAAATGTCCGCAGCGAGAGCAACTTGCTCCGGTTTCACCAGCGCCCGGCAACTGGCATGAGACGATAACGAGGACTACAGACACAGGATTCCTACGCGGTTGAGCGAAACGGAATTTGTGAGCGTCAACAGCCAACCAACATGAAAGCAGTCGCCAAACGTGGAACTGCCGTTGTGAATGCCTCGTACCGGGAGCAGTAAACTTTCGTGTCTGAAGTCCTTGAGTTCCTCTGACGTAAGGGAGAGTTGTGGAACACGCTTCGCAGCAAACAACGCATGATGATCGGCGTATGCTTTCCTTCTAAAAGCTGTACGATCGAGGAGGTGTTGTTGGCACTACTTGTCTGTTAATCGCTCACCATACTCTCGCGCGCTCGTCAACGCTCCCGGACAGGATGTTGTCTGCTTCGGTCCAAGCTACACTCCAGATTCCTTCCTCATGGGCGTTCTCCGATCGATGCGTAGCCCGGTACTTTTTGACAGCAGAAAGCGGTACCGGCAGCGTTCCAGCAGGACCGGCGTCAAGGGTACGGCGAAGCAGCAGCAGCGGCGGCGGCGGCGGCGGCAGCAGCAGCAGCAGCAGCAGCAGCAGCAGCAGCATCGGCAAGCAGCGGCATACTAAGAATGCAGATCGGCGTTGAGCCATTATGCAGCGGCATGCATACAGGTAGTGAAGACTTGATTTCGCCGGATGTACAGCCCCGGGACTGGTGCCGACAACCTGGGTACTGGTGCCAACAACCTGGGTCCAGGTGGCCGAAGTCCGCGTCCACGAACTCCTCCCTCCCTTGGTTACACAGTAGATCCCTTGCAATAAAGCAGTAGCCGAGGCACTTGAGGCCAAGCAGCCAAGCACTGGCATGGAATATGCTTTGAGATATAAGTCATAAGGTTTGGTGTCGAGCAGTGGCGGCGTTAGTTCAGAGACCCACGTGTGGCTTGAAGCCCTCCCCACGCGGCGGCTAGTGCACAGCAGTGCACAATAGCCTTGCGTACCGCCTCATCACCAGCGGGGAACAGGCACCTTACCAAGCATTGTTTGACAGGTTGTGTATTGTGCGTAGGCTAGGTATGATCATGGCAACTATGCGGGGGCGGGAACATCTCCACCACGACAATCACCTGTCCCCCAACATCAACAGATCAACAGCAGTTGTGCTTGCCACCGTCCTCGACTGATGACTCTACCTGGCGATATTCTCAACAGCAGGCTCAGTTGCCCACTGCTGTTTCAAAAAAAGGCATGTTTCGCATGGTGCAGAACGGATCTTACGCCGATACAGTGACACAAATCGCTAAAGCAGGAGATAGCCTCACCATTGTACCAGCCGGGAGAGAGTTGAAGGGAGGGAGGGAGACGACTATAACGCCGAACACGGGTAAGAGATAGCCGATGACCAGAGCTGCAAAATGGACTCGCTGACAGAAAATGGGGTTTCCAAAAGTTCGAAAAGGATTCTTACCGAACCAATGCGCGACACGTTCCGCGTACCGGTCGGTGGTCGTTGGATGCGGGCGGTGGGCGGACGGGGGATTTACGGATTTACCGTTCATGCTGATGCAAACTCTCTTTGTTTTGTCAGCGAGGGAAATCTGTACAAAGGGCGTCTCCAAAGCAAATACTTCCAACACACCCGTTCGATTCTGTAGTGAATTTCTCCAGCGGATGTACAAGTCTTTCGATTGTACATCCACTTGTAAACTAGCTGGAAAATATTTCTTATTTCCTCTTTGTCGACGACGGCTGAACAGGGGACAGGAGCTCAGAAGACTTGTGCCACCACCAGAGCATTGTGGATGCTACACGGCCACAATGTAGAGCCACAAAATGAAAGCAGCAGCACTTCGAAAAAGAGCGTCGCGATCGGTTAAGATGAATCTACATACGCTTCTCGTTGTTTTGTCGATGAAGCGGGGTCGACCCCCCCCCCCCCCCCCCCTCCCACGCGCGCCGTGGCCTACACGTACGCGCCTGATCGGATGGTCACGCTCGCGTGCTCAAATTGCGGCGTGATGGTACACTTCGAAGACGCTTGTTCGTGACCATACAAATGCTGACGGGAGAAAAGGGGACTGCCAAGGCCTTGCTCGCCAAACAAAACATTGGAAGAACGCACAGCAGATTCTCTCTGCGCGAACGCGGATCGTATGTCTGTAGCTCTGCAAAGACAGCAGCAGACTGTTGTAGGTCGTAAGAGACCCGCGGGCGGGGGACGGCAAGAAAATGAGAACCTCTCGCTTCGAGGTCTTTTTTGTACATCCGCACACAAACACCACGAGACAAAATGGTGTGCACGCAGGCAGGACCACAGTGACTGGTGCCACCGCACACGCCTTCAAATCACACCCACCCAACTCGAGTCCCTCACGAACAGCCAACAACACACACAACCCGTGCACGGACGGCGTTAACAGCCAATGGCAGGAATGCACTCATCACCAGCTTAAAAAATATGCTGTGCTTCTTGGAACCAACCGCTCCGCTCAGCAGCAGCCACAAGAAGTGGTAGCACACAGGAGCAGCACCTCTCACCGGCATTTTCAGCATTTCTCATCGGCACTTCAATCGTCGACCAGTGTCAACACGGAACGAATCCAACTTTAAACCTGTACGCGCATCTCCACGCCATCACGACAATCGGCAACAAGCAACGCTCAAGATGTCGACGGGAACATGAATGTCGTTCCGCGGCATCACGAAGCGACCGGATCATGAGGCCATCACCAGTCGGCGTATCTGATCTTGCAGATGTGGTGTCCGAACTCGTCGTACTCTTGCTTGCTCACGGCGAAGCTGCCGAACTCCGGACTGGCGCCGAAAAGCGACCCACCTAACGTTGGGTTCATGAGACCGAAGGTATGTGAGTTAACACGCACACAAAACAACAGAACATGAGATCGGAAAGCTACACGTACACACAAGGACAGACTTCACACGTTCACACGAACGCCACAAAAATACTATTTGTTCAGGTCTCCCCGCATTTCCGCAATGATCGGCGAGATAGATACCGTTTGGAAAGGTTTCCATACCTCGCCAAGCGTGCAGCATGGGCTCCTCCGGCAGGATGACGTTGACCTCGCAGTGAATGGGGGCGGAGGCCCGTAGGTCTCTGTAAAGCCGCTCCCTCAGGTTGGGGATGGCGCAGTTTCCCCCCGTAAGGAGGACGTTAGCGTAGAACTGTGGTCGCAGCGCAGCGGGGCAACTTTGGCAGCATTGGGGAGGGGAATGGGCGCCGTAGGGGAACATACAAAAAAAAGGGTGGGTTAAGGAAAGCAGAAGCGGTACCCGAGGAGAGCAGTGTCGGGGGACGCAGCGAGATGAAGAGAGAAAACACACATACCAAAAGAAAGCAAAAACGCCCGGAAACGGGCATCGAGACCGCCAAAAAACAGCAAGAAATAGAAAAGTCATGTAGGAATCGTGCACCGTCGGCCATGCATAACAAGGGGGCCGTCGTCACACCACCCCCCGCTACTGCGTACCTAATTCTTCTGACCAGCCGATTGGCGCAGTCCACGCCAAAGGAGAAAGCCCAAACGGCGCCGAATGAAAAAACAATGCCAACACATGCACCACCGGACACGTGGCCTCATCTTCCCCCGGCGTCAAAGCGAGACCTCACCAAGCCCTACACGACTGACTCATCGAGTGATAGATTCGCCCGCAGACAGATTCATAGACTCATGGCCCTATGTACAACTTCTCCAACAAACCCACCACCCAAGCCTCGGCACAAACCCCGTGCCATAATCACGGGTGCGATAATCACTTCTACAATCCCCGTTCTTTTCTAAATCACCGTCACCTCCGTTCAATAATCCCCGTTTACTAATCCCCGGCCTACCATCTCCGTTCTCTATTCACCGGCTATAATCAACATGCTGCTTCTATAGTCACCGTTCTATGCATGTCGCGACGGCCTCCGAGAGCCCCATCTGTCTCAGCCCGATGTTGGACGGGTTGAAGAGCACCTCCGGTATGTGAAACCGCTCGTTTCCCATCGTCAGGACCTACATGCGCACACACGGAAAGGAGCACCAGCCGCCAGCGGCGGCGGCGGCGGCGGCGGCCGTATCGAGTCAAGGAGCTAACATCGTATGGTCGTGAACTGAACACCATCACGCATCACCCCAAAAGGTGCCGAGAGCCATGTTCTAAATAGCGTTTAGGTAACAAAGACGCATCAACAAACAAAGGTGCCGAACCACGTTCCGAATTTATGTGAGAAAAGAAGCCTCCACAATAAAGGTGCCGGCGCATGCTTCGCGTCCAGGTCAAAAAAAAGATTCATCAACAATAAAGGTGCCGGGCCATGCCTGGCGTTTAGGTAGACAGAGTTAAAGTTACCTGCGGCTGTTGTTCATCCTCCACCCCGAGCTCCTCCTGCTGTCGTCGCTTCACGCGGGCGTCCCAGTCCACCTCTCTAGCAAAGCCCTTCATCACGGTCTTGCGGTCCGGGAGGACGAATTCTCTGGTTGGCAGATGAACAAACGACGACAGCGTGAACGGAATCAATGGACTTCAGCAGCAGCAGCAGCAGCAGCAGCAGCAGCAGCAGCAGCAGCAGCAGCAGCAGCAACAGTAGCAACGACAACAACAGTGGCAGCAGCACTGTTCGAACGCCATCAACAACAGCAAAAACGCAACTACAGTAGCAGCAGCATCGACAACAACAGCAGAGAGGCAACAGCACTTCACGAACGCCATAGGAACAGCAGCGAAAAACACATAGAGAACAGAGCGTGCGTGCGAATGCGCGAGGGAAGACTCACGGGATGATCACCGATTGCCGCCCCCGCCGCCGCGACTGAGCGTCCATCACTGGGAGAAAAACAAATTTGAAGACTCGACCGCCGCGAACTGTTCTTCATCGACAGCACCGTTCCTTAGAGAAGCGGTATAGTAGCAGCCGCTGTGCTCACCTGACGATCGGGTTGCCTGGTCTGACGTTGCGTGCCGCGCGAAGATCGGCGTCCAGGTCGAGACTAACGTAACTCAACGAGTCTTTCACGTCCTGCATAACCTGTCAGAGACCGGGGGGTGGGGGGGCGAGGGGCGTCTTATGTTTTGCATGCCCTGCTGTTAGACCATTGGCCACGCGTCCTCGAAAGGACGGAGCGTTGTCCCCACAGGACTGATCACCGATGGCCAATCGTGCCTTCGTATTTTGCCAAACGTGGCTAAAAAAATGTATTCGGCGGTGGGTGGGGAGGGACAGCAGCCTTTCGAATATCGCGCGCACGCAGACAATCCCAACCCGGTCTCTGCGTGCGTGGGGAGAGGGACGTAAAAAGCTGCCAGAACTCATCACTCATCATCGTGCCACTATCGGCGCGTCGAATCGTCCCGAATACAGGACAACCTTCAAAGGAATACCATCGTGCGCCAGGCCTGAAGCGCGCCGATCTCTCAAAACCATGGCCCAACCGTAATCGTAAGACCGTTCCCGACCGCCCACCAACAGAGAGCTAAGACAGTGATACAGCAGCAGTGAACGCCTGTTTTCAAGCGTGTTCGGCACGAACAATATCACGGAAACATGCAGACGTGAACGCCTGTTGTCAAGTGCACTAGGCACGACTAACGCCACGGAAACATGCACAAGCTCACGCCCTTTGTCAACACCACCCGACACGAACAACACCGCGAAACACGCAGTCGACGCCGGCAGAACAACCGTTCTTGGACTGGCATACAACTTAAATAGGCCGATGCGTCTTAAGACAAGGCCTGTGGGCTCTAAGACAAGTCCGAGGAGGAGCCAAGTCTCACCTCGAACTCGTCCATCATATTCCACTGCCGGTATGACACGACCTCCTTCAGGTAGTTGGTCAGCAACTTCCCGCCCACGTTCACCCTAAGCGCCTGGATACGACAGGACAGGAAAGGGTTCCAAGAGCACGCAAGAGGCGCATACAGCAAGACAGGAACCGAGTGCAGTGAGGGGGGCAGCACAGGGTGTGTTGGGGGGGGGCAGCAGAGTGCGCGAAAAGTACATTGGTAAAACGAGACACTACGGTAGGAGAATAAAGATAGTACCAAAATATTGTGTTAAAAGTGACAGGGCATTCCAGTCGCGTGTCTGACCGCCCGTTCTCGCCGCCCCTGGCTCAACCCGACCCATTTCGTGCTTGCGAGTAGAGCCCGGCTCTGATAAAAAAAAAAGGAAGCCGAATGCCCACCAACGACAAACTCAAGACACACTTACCAAGGGTACACAACACATGCAGAGGAATGTACGGCATCCCCCAACTCCCCTCTAGTTTGGTTGGCACCAAACAACCTACATGCTCGTCAGAGGGATGAAAACAAGCTGACAACTTCAGAAACCGCCACCACTAAATGAAGAACCCGTCAATGAAATCCCATCAAGTAAGGAGAAGTTCAAGAACCTGAACGTACGGTACGAATCCTGTCCACTTAACACCAAACACCATTGAAGCCGAATCCTAAAGCAACCCCACAGAGGAACCAAGAAACGAGCCTCGGGGGGGGGCAAAAACAACAAGTTTTTCAAGCGGTGGCGCCCTCTGTAGCCCGCTCCCACACCAGCAGCAGCAGCGCTCACCGACTTGTGCAGAGCGCGGCCCTGGTAGAACGGCAGGATGTGCGTGAACGAGAACCCGGAGTCCACGACGATGCACACGTCCGACATGGCGAGCCCCTTCCCGGCCCCGCCGCCAAGCAGCAGCAGATCCGCCGCACCCGCACCACCACCACCACCGCCGCCTTCGGCGGCGGCGGGGTCGTCCAGCTGCACGTCCTCCTCCTTCTCCCAAACTTCTTCCTCCTCCATTTCCTCGTCGTCCTCTTCCTTTTCGTCTTCTTCTCGTTCTTCTTCCGGCGACTTGGAAGCGGCAGCGGCGGAACTGCTACCGCTGCTTCCCTTCGAGTGCGCCAGTCCCATCACCCCTTCCGGATCGGTGGGATCGTACCGTTGTCTTGGGAGAGGGGTTTTCGTATTTCCACACGCAAGAGGAAGGGGTGGAAAGCCGCAAGGGATGATGGTCGCAAAAAAAATACAAGTACGAGTTTATCGAAGTCAAACTGCACGATGTAAGCAGCTCGATGAAATTAGTTATTCAACCTACACATGCAACTACGGCTGTACCGAGCTTGAGCTTTGACACGAGAAGGTGATCGGTGTCGGAGTCGCGTTTCGAGGGAACAGAGGCGCTGCCGCGCCTTTCGCGAGCACGAGAGAACTTCGCGAGCGCGGCTCCATTCGATTGCGGTAGTGGTACGCAGCAGTGCCCACCAAATTGTTCTTCGGCAAACCATTGCGGAGGTTTTGGGCTCACCAAACGGAACATTCCGAGAAAAATATCGTCTCCTTTCATTTCGCACCCCAGGCAAAGCACTGTTCTTCTCGTCTATCGCGGCCCAAGCACAAATTCACTGCCCGCGAGCCGAAGCCAAAAAACGAGACCCTCCCCCCCCAAAAAAAATCACATGACAAAATAGTAGACAAAAGAAGGTAGTATTGTCGAAGTTTCCGAGGGAATAAACGAAAGATGAGAGCTAGAAACGCACAGATGTCTGATACCAAGCTCAAAGTGGTGTCAACTACTAGTTGGCACAACGTGATGAGCGCCTGCTCAGCGTGTGTTATGGGGAAGACAACCGTACCAATAGTATACAAAGCAGCAGCCGCGCCTGCACAACAAATGTCCGTGGCGTAATACTTCTCCTTTCACAGCAATTCTAGCTGAGGGAAACCTGTCCGCCACGGCACACACCCATCCAACGTCTCTCTCAAGCGCCTCCCACCCTCTCCCGTCAACCTTCCTCGCCCCTCACGAAGAGGGAGAGATCAAGGAAGACAGGAGAGGGCAGATGGCGACGAGAGAGAGCAAAGAACCGGGCGCGAGTTTCTCTAGGAACACCCGAATAACTTCACACGCCGAAAAATTAACGTCAATAAAGAGACGTCAAATTGAGACGGCCGGGGGAGAGGAGCCGAGAGGGGTGTTTTTTGATTGGTGGGGATCGGGACCGGCAGAAAATGCGCGGCGTAACATGGCACGGGGAAGGGCTGCGAGGGCATGCGGCGGAGGGTATATCGAGAAAGCCAGATACTCGAAGCCTTCACGAGCTAGAGTAAAAGTCTTCCGACAACCAAACCGCTTTTGCCCCCAACACCCCGACCTCGACCTGCTGGCCTTTTCACGCCGCTCCTTGATATCCCCGCCCCTCCCGCACGCCTCTTTTCGTCGAGCCTCCATCCCGTCAAGGGAAAAAAGGACACGGCGTCCCCTGTGTTCCATTCTTATTAGAATAAAAGCATTAATCTTTCAACTGTTCCATTCCAGTTAAATCAGTGCCCTCGACGACTCGTGTTCATCCAACAACAACAAAAAAAGGCTTCGGCACATACCCTTGGACTGTGGCTATATCTCGAACGAGCAGTCTTTTCTGTGAATGCACGCGTACTTTATAATAATGAATGGGCTCAGAGGGGGGGAGGGGTGCACGCAATTACACCTACATACCACCGATGGCTGCTCATTTTTCGCCGGGCGGCACGGTCGATCCCAGACGAAGAGATACGCACAAGGGGGGGCAGCAAATCCCCTTGCTTTCCATTCCCTCATCCTGTTTGAATCGAGAGCTCGCGCCCCCTTACCGCCCCTTTTCCATCGCCGCCCATTAACCAAGGAAGTGGTAAATACGGGAAGGGTCTACGTGCCCGACTTGTCTCCTCTGCGACAAAGGATAACTGCTGTACGACGCACGAACCCGCCCACCTGCAAAACGCAAGCAACACCCGAGTGCCCCAAACCCACCCGTGGGCAATTGTATAACAGCTAAGGCATGCCCCGAACCCGCCCGTGGTCAATGGTCTAACAGCTAAGGCATCCAAAACATGCGTACGCCCCCCCCGCCCCCCCCCTTCCTCACCGGGTGTTCCCGCCCCCGACCAATACCCCCGTGCTCAGGCGAGTCCCTCGGCCATGCGCCGCCTTTGCCGCGGCCGCCGCCCTCGCGGCCTCCTCCTCAGCCCTAGCCTTGGCCGCCGCCTCCCTCGCCTCTCGCGCGTAGTGAGCGTTGAGCTCGGCCCGCCTCTTCTTCATCTGCGCCTTCAGGCTGCGGGCGTACGTAGAGAGTGGAGGGCGTCCAAAAACGAAATAAATCGTCGTTGAAGCCAGTTTTTGTTGGAAGAACAAAGCACGACACACAAAAAAAAAGGGGGGGGGGACACGAGGAGAAATAGGAACACGGGAGGGCGGAAGAGGAGGACGAGCAGCAGCAGGTTAGCGGAGGGATGGAAAACGAACTCTGCTGCATTCTGGGGGATGGTGCGCATACCAGTAGTTGGGGTTGATATTCGTTCGGGCGCTGCTACAGCAACGAGAGGGCCACGAGAGAGAGAGACAGAGGGTCAAGAGGGACAAGAGGGAGAGAGATAGATAGAGATAGATAGAAAGATAGAGAAAGAGAGAGAGAGAGAGAGAGAGAGAGAGAGAGAGAGAGAGAGAGAGAGAGAGAGAGAGCAGAAACCTGCTTGGTGCACTGCTACGGCGAGACAACCAAAACAACAACGTCCCGGCAGCGGCAGCAGTATCAGCAGTATCAGCAGCAGCAACTCACATGCTCTCCCTCTCCTCCTCCAGCACCTGCTCGTGGTAGCAGCTCAGTGCCGCGGAAGGACACCGGTAGCACGCCGCGAACCCGAACTCTTCAAACACCACCTGCAGCAGCAGCAACAACAGCAGTAGCAGCAGCAGCAGTAGCAGCAGCAGCAGCAGCAACACAGCATGTGACAGATCGCCAGCCAAGCTCAGCCCAGCCACGCCCGGGGGAGTCCCAAAACACGGTAAAAAGTGTCGATCATGGTTTCCAGCAGGCCGTCGACGATGGGTGCGATAGTCGAGACGAAAAATCAAGGACGCCCGTCATTCACGTGTTGGTCTTGCTCGGATGCCAAGCGGGCGTGAGCAGCGTAGTCGCTCAACTTCTAGAATGGTTGGAAAAGTAAAAAGTATACAGCCATCACAAGGGTACCGCCCTCACAGGGGATGCCACCCGTTAACGAAAAATGTGATACGGGATGACAGCAGTTACCGCTCGAACGTCGACCAACACAAAGGACTCAAAAGGTGAGGGGAAAGATTGCGTGACACAATGTGCCACACCCGATGCAGAATACCGCACTGCTCGTCTTCATATCTCTCAACACTTCGATGCCATGGCCGGGGTTGGATATTCCATTCCTGCTGCCGTAATGGCGTCCGATCCAACGAGCAGCCAACAGGACAGTAGCTAGTGGACCTAAACCTGCAGCCTTGCAGCCACACCTCCGCTGTGTGTTGGCGCGAATACAACTCCTTCCACACACGATACAATTGTCTTCTCTCTGAAAACAACGCAAGAGGAACAAAAAAAAAAGCACCACCAATTTTCTTACTAGAAGCAAGCATGTCCTCTCCCCCTGCATTCTTACAAAAATTCTCGTGCGACCGTGGTTATATCTCGAACAGGTAGTCTTGCTGTGATTGCACGTGCATGTTCTAAGATCCTTCCCTTCTCAATACGAACACCCCCCGTCCTATAGTCGTTAAAACCGCCAAGTCTAGGTCGCACCTCGTTGGCCGCTTCCTGGAGAACGAGGGGACCGAAGGGGGCCTCGGTGGCAAGGAGGCGGCTGTCGCGAGGGTCGGCGTTGAGGAAATTTCGTCCAAGCATGCGTCGCCACACCTGACGAGGATAAGGCAATTGAAAACGGTGTTGTTGGTAAGGTTGTTGTTGGGGTTTGCTGTTGTGGTTGGTGGTGGTGGTGGTGTTTTCACACTAAACACCGGCGTGATTCCCTATCCCGCACGTTCCGCCATACCTGTGGACTGCTTCTGACGGCACGAAATGAAAAAACAAGACCGGGGTCACGGTCTACAAGATAAAACCCGATGATGGCTTCCAAACAATAGCACCACAAAGAAAATAGCAGCCGCAGCAGCAGGAGTTAACAAACGCTATGCAAACAATTGGGCAAAGCAGAAAACAGGAGCAGGAGCAGGAGCAGCAGCAGCAGCAGCAGCTGCCGCCACCATCGATAAAACCACCGCCGCAAACTACACAGGTTTCGGGATAACTACAGGCCGCGTGTGCCCAACCACCCTGGCGAAATCAGGGGGCGTTACAATACACAAGCGACGTTACCAGTCCAATTTGACCTTGACATAAGCTTGTCGCTGCACCCATTTGGTCCGTTTAGGCACCCCTTGAATGCTCTTCCTCCTTTCAACGTCCCGTACACACGTCGAGACCCTCCTTATCCCAGTGGTTCGATTCCGGTATTTCCTCTCGGCAAAAGCAACAGATTATCTTCTTGTCGAACGCGCACCTCGAACTCGGGTTCCCAGTTGGTGATGTACCCGCGGTCGAACGGTCTCAGGATCGATATCGGCGCCGAGTCTCTCGCCGCATGCGCCGTCTCGTCTCCGACCACCATCTGATTTTGGTATTGGTCCGAGAAACGCCAACGAGAGAACACGGTGTCGGAGGATGGCTACAGACAAGATGTTGACGTAAATGATACTCCATATTGTTGACGCCAGGCGAGCTCAAGGCTGCATCGTATGGTATGCATACATTCAGACGACGGGGGGGGGGGGGTCGGGCAGCTTGTTTCACCTTAAGGGTCTCCGGGAGATGGCTATTGGTGTAAGTACCAAACTGCTGCCGTCTCGACACCATAATCACAATGCACAAGCCCGAAGAAAAACAGCGGAGGCCTCTGCCCGTGACGCGAAAAAGAAAACGCCTCTTTTCGTCGTTGCAGCTGTCGTTGAACGCACAGGTACCCAGCAGCACAAGGTAGCGATCCATGTTATTTCGGCCTCTTACCAAACGTGGCGTGTTTGCTTGTTCGTTAGTGGTCTCTCCATCGTGTGCCTGTTTCTGCCTCTTATTTCTTGTTATTTTCGGCCTGGTCCCTTTTTGTCCTCGCTCTTTTTCATTTTATTTTCATTTTATTTCTCTTTTTCTTACTGTTTCCTTTTTATTTTATTTTTTCTCTTTTTTCTCTTTTTCTCCCTTTTTTCTCTCTTTTTCTGTGCCAGATGGCCTTGTCTCTGCTTGCGTTGTGAAGTACCAAGATTGAACCAAGGGGGTGTACCTCTTTCTCTCCGGCCCATGATAGTGACTCCCAGTCTCAGTTGATACCTCGCATAGCGCGCAGAGGGAGTGGAGGATTCCAGAATATCTGTCCTTGATTTCTATTGACTTGCGGACCCCTCGGGGCCAGTTTATTTGAGTGTACCTTTTTAGGGTAAGTTAACCTGTGACCACGGGAATCGACCGCGTCGAGTGTTGGATCAGTACGGACATACGAAGGTACTGGGTAGAGGGAGATCGGAACGGTTTATGATGTGAAGACAACAACAACAACAACAACAAACGTGTGAGGCTCAATACAGAGGTGAAGATAACAAGAGATGACTACTGCTGTTTCGTTGTCGGCGGGGGTGCGGAGAGGAAGTTGTCCTCTGCCCCCGAATTTCGTGAGCCCCAAGGGAGCGTGCTCTGCACGCATGCTACACAGCGGTACATGAGATATTGATGTGCGGTCGTCGAATTGAGCCTTCACGCCTGGACTTCACCTCGTGGAATATACATACACCTCTCAACAACATACAACACCAGCGGTCGGCAACCCAACGAAGCAGGAAATTGTTGAAAACATGAAACGTTACATCGTGAGGGTGGGGCGTGCGAAGAGCCATAGCCATGTGCGAACACATGACACATGACAAGTAGCTTCATGACGGAAGATACAACACCCCCATACATGTAGACAGCAAAATTTACAGGTACACCCCAAGATGAGTGCAGCTCAAGTCACACTGCTATACCGGCTGCAGCCATCTGAAGTTAAACTAAAGAAAGTAAAACAATGTTCGCACACAGCACCTGAGCCTGTCCTTTGATCCTGCCAGTGCAGTTGGGCATGGTATGGGAAGGTCGGAGCTGCCCTGCTGTGCCAGCCTTCAAACCACCTGCCCCATTGTCAAACACCAGCGTTTTCGACATGGTAGACGCGAAGCACTCTCGTTAGCCGGTGCGAGCTGCATACGTGGGATTCTTGTGTGTGTGTTGCGGTACCGCAAGAAGCAAGAGGTGAGAGAGGTGGAGGTGGTGTTGATCCAGGTGGGTGCCCACGGCGTGGCGGCGACAGCGAAGCACGGGTGAGGGGGGGTGTTTGTCCTGATGATGATCACACGGAGCCTCCAGGCCAGACTGGCGACAAAGACTATGACTATAATAACCGTTATTATAGTCATAGTCTTTGACTGGCGACTGCGCAAGGCCAGGCACACAGGGGGGTATACTGGTGTAGCGTGTCAGCAAGAGACGCGCAGATTGGCTTCCACACGGGTAAAATCTATCTCGTGGTCGACGTTTCAGTCGAGGTGTGCGGCCACTCAGGTTGTATCAGAAGCCAGCTATGACGCGGCGGAGCGCAACAAGGCAGAGTTCTGTCCTCAGCGTAGTCGCCCCAGTCATCAAATACACGAGAGGAGAGGGGTAAAACAGACAGATTATTTACTGACGTGCCCATCATACCGGCGTACACCAAAGGAGCAAGGGATGCCTATACTTCAGAATGCCGGCGTCGGGATGACGCCAACGGGATCAAGGAGGAAGTAATGAGAGATTTTTTTGTGCAGCAACGGGTTTCGACAGCGGAAAATCTGCCGACTAGTCTGTCTATGCGGGCGTGTACAGTAGTTTGACGTGACATGTGCGCCCCTGCATAAGTGAGAGGCGAGAAAATCGTGCTCTTCTGTCCTCGTCGACCGGGATTTCTTTGGGGCAGCATACGGAAGGGGACGCGAGCCCGTGAGCCTTTCTGTAGTGGGACCTGTCCGTCGTTTTCGTCCCAGCTCCGACCATGGCGGCAGTCTGGCAGTGGGCACAGAGTAACTTTGCGCCACATGCGGCCGGATATGGACGGGACCGACTTCCCCTGAGGTAAGTTCACCATCAGCCCGACCCGTGACAAGATGAGAGCGAATGTCGGTCCAATGGTATGACGTTGTTCTGAGACTGAAGGCGGGTTTAAAATTGAAATCGTTGGTACCTGGAAGCACACAGCTGATGCAGGCCACGTTTTTCACTGCAGTATTAGTCATAACAGTTCTTCTACAAGCACTTGTTGCGATAAACCTGCTCGATTAGTTCTTGACTAAGACTCGTCTACACTCGTTGGAGTGATCGAAGGGTACAACACAGCAACAACAGACCCTTGACGCCCCCCCGCTTGGTTCTTGTGATGTGCCTGTCTCCCACGTGGCGCAGGAGGTTCATGGTCTATTTGTTTAGTTTGAATTGATTCCATTGATAATTTTCTATAACCCCGAGGAAAATGAGAGAGATACCAACCTGGCAGAGCATGTTTCCCGCCGGCACCTTCCTGGGGTTTTATAACTTGTCCTTCAAATTCCTCTCTCTCGCTAACCCCTCCAAGCAGCAGCCGAGGGTTCTGTTCCCTCCGGTGAAGGGAACACATGTCACTGCACGCAGTAGGCTCGGATGATCAAATCCTCCAAATGGTACCCTATCATTTTCTTCTCCTCACTACTGCAACCGTACCGTTTAATGGACTCGGTCCTCTCCTTTCCCCCACGCTTAGAAAGAAAAAGGGGTGGATGGGTGGGAAAATACACGACTTATTTGAATTGGCAAACAACCAGAAGCTTTTCTATACGTCTACCTTGCTCGTTGTCTCTGCCCTACTCCCTCTGGCACACTAGGGCTCTTAGTGTGAATACAAATTCGACAGATGTAGCACTCAAACGTTTTCTTCGGTTGGGTCCCCGTTCTACGTACTACTTTCCCCCCCGCGTACCCCAATAGAAACGCCATGGCACCTCCAATGGTTTAAAAAAACATCGGTCTCCATTTGTCTACGAATTCAACACTCCTGCCACAATACGTCTACAGAGCGGTAGGGCTAAATTCCTTCTCTCGTTCGAGAGGCTTCGTACCACGTAATGTTCCTCGCGTCCCCCAAAGAGAACGCCATGGCAATTCCGAGGGCTTAAAAAAATCGATTGTTTTGTATACGCCTTCAACAAGCCTCCTTTCATGCCAGACACAAGTATTTTATCACGACGTCCCTGTACCATGAACAACATCTGGGTGGTAATCGGCGTTGCTATGCATTCCAACTATCCATCGTTTCTCTTCCATACGTGATTCCAAATACTATTTTCGCACCGTGATTCTTCAGCATGCTTGTCCAGGAAGCATTGAAATGCTGGACCCTAGGGCGCGATCAACAATCAATTCGACATTTTATTACACAATTTTTAGGCCGTATTCTTCTTTCGTCATCTCTTGAGGAACGGAAAAGGGTACAGATTACGTTCTTGTTTTGTGTATCGCTCTTTTAGGTGTCCTCTTTTCCACCGTCCTCATCCCTGTCGCCGTTGCCACCCGAGGCACGGTCGTCGTGCTGCTCTCCTGCACGGAGCCTGCGGATAGTTTCCTTGAGCCGCGATACCTCTTCCCCATCCTACAGCAACAGCAGCAGCAGCAGCAGCAGCAGCCGTACCGTAACACAGGGTAGCAATGTGGAGAAAAAGTTTGCGATTGCGATCGAAACGTGCCCACTGATGTACACAAGCAGTACTCTAGATGCAATCCTGCAGGTAAACTCCACGGGGTTGCAAACACGCTGTTGCGACGTATCCCCTAACGAAGTTAAGCTGCCATGAGTGCGTATGATGTGTCGGGGTTCGAAATAGCTGGGGATTGTTGGAAACTACCTCGATACCAGCAAGAGAAGGAAACAGCAGGAACGCATGACGTGTGGATTCTGCAAACGCCGCCAATGGGCCCTTCATGTTAGAAAGGCAGCCAAGGGGTTGGGTGGCTAGACGCGTATTTGATGAGTGCAGGAAATCAGTAGAACGGTGTTGTCGTCGATGCCGGTGGCCGGCGTTATTTTCAGCAGATACTTTGATGTCGAACGAACCGACCCGGGCATATGCATACATGTTCACGAAAATGTCATGCGTTCCACCATCCAGTCTCGGCGATGCTCGTTTGTTATTCTTCGCACGGATTCGATGCATGAAAGTGAGCACGGGTGACACCGAGCGGGGGACGAACAGTTGCCCACCTGCTGCTTCTCGGCGGTGTTCGTGATTAGCTTCACGCGGGTGGCGTACGTGAGAGCCGTTACGGTTTCGTCCTGGTTGTAGTCCGCCGGCGAGATGTTGACGAACATGAGCGTTTTGGCGTTGCCACCCAAGGAGTCTTGCATAACCTGTTTGTTTTCCATGACACATGTGGGACCACAACAAGTGATTTGTCAGCAGGGGATCCGATGCAGTCTCACGACACGGCCGGATTGAAATAGCAACCCTCTTGCCCAGTGCAGGATTTCTTTTTAAGGCGGCAGTACTTCGCCATCTACAGCGTGTGACTCCTCTCCCTCGTCCCTCGGGTACCATCTCGTGTCTCCTCTCTATAGTTTCTGCATATCCACGTCATGACGCCTTTTCTGCATCTGCAAGTCGTCACACCGGCGTTGTCCCGGAAGAGGGAAAGTCTGACATATGACGCTTCCGCGACACCAGGCGGCGTGGGTACCAAGTCCTCAGGCTGTAAAGAAGCTGTGCCGCCGAAGTGATATCGCCCCCAGGAATGTTCTCGAACATCTCGACATCTGTGATCGAAATGAGCCAATCACCTGGGTGAGTTTGTTGTTCCTGTATGGGATGAACTTCTCGTTTCTGGAAAGCGCCGAGATCACGTCCCCCAATGCTGACAGAGATTTGTTGATGCTCTGGGCCTCTTTCAGGCGGTCCGCGGTGGCCCCCGTCTTGTCAGCCCTCTCCGAGCCCGCGAGATCCACCAGCGACAGCTTGCCGGTTGTTGTTTTCTTGGAAGCCTTGTTGTACACCTGAATGTGGTCGTCCCGGCGCACAGCGAGAGCAGGGTTGAACTCAGCAAGGTGTATGAAGCCACTTCTTAGGCTTGTACTGCTTGGAACCAGCAGGGGAGACTAAGTCTTGTAACGTACTCATGATGGAGAGTGGGCACAAGGATGATTGCAGGCGCATTGTATCACGAGCGATATTCTGAGGGAGTGGAGATTGGGTTGGGCTAATCTTGCGACTACCTTTCGTTGACGAAGGTTTTGCAAACAACACACAGGCATCGGAGAGCTCCTACGACAGTTCGGCGTACGAGTATCTGGCGAAGATAATTACCTCCAGAAGGACGCTGAAGACGGAGTGAGAGCGGCTGGACTCTGCGTTCATCTTCGTGCCGCCGACCTTGCGCTGGTGGTTCCCCGCGGCGAACAGATGCATCAGGTCACTCGCGTCACGCGCCTCCTGCTCGCCCATGGAGTGTGGGTTGGCCGAATGTTGTTTTCCGAAGGTGAAGGGAGCAAGCGGGGAGTGGTGTTGGCGAAAGTTCACCCTTTTGGCACGGAAGCACGGCAGCATACATCCTAACTTGGTGCCTTGCATTAGGGAGGGGGCGACGGCGATATCCGCTAGTGAATGAACGAGAAGTGCCCTCCCACCTTGACCACCACGTTCTTGACGACAACCATCTTGTTGCTATCCATATGGATCTCTAGCCTCGGCGGCGTCCCTGTAGGGTGGTCCATCGCGAACAGAAGGTCTCGAAGGTTGTCGAGGTACAGCTCGATGAAATAGCACGACACTTTGACCTGACACGCAGGGCGCATGGCACGACAGGTCAGTTCGCGTAGTTCTTCATGATCACACAAAAGTCTTGTGATCATGACCCTAAAAATCCAAAATGACCGCAAATATATATCCTTGACTCAGGCACAGTTTTGGGTGTGAAATTTTCGACCTCTTGCTAAAATTGTTGTAGGTAGTAATCAAGTGAAACGCGGTGCTCTACACCTCACCCATGGCCAGAACTCGAGTACCGTCGGTTTTATATGTATCAAGGTGGCCCTCCTGGGATAATTCGCTCCATGCGTACACAAGTCGAGATGGAAACTCTGCGTAAAGTTATATGCCAATTTTACTCGCCTTTACCCAGGCGAGAAAATAGAAGGTGACACACCAAGACCCATGCGGAAGTAATGTTTCGACAACGGTACGGAATAAAATCTACCGCTGTTTGTTGGGAGGGGTGAAATTCTTTTTAGCGAATACAGCGAGAGGTTGGAAGACTGTGATATTTTCAGCTGTTGCAACTCGTTTTTGTTGGCCATACCTCGAGAGCGCCCTTGGCCTTTTCAATGTTTCCAAAGACCTCCTCGATTGCCCTCGGTGTGAGACCGCGCTGATCTCCTTTGCCTCCGGTCATCGTCCACGTCTTGCCCGAGCCGGTCTGACCATACGCAAACACGCAAACGTTAAACCTGACCAAAAAAAAACATCGTCACGGCCAAAGATAGGGCAGGAACGGATGGGGGAGGGCGTCGAGGTTTTGGTTCCTAGCAGTTCGAAATCATGACAAAGGTGAATCTGCTGTATGAACAGTATTGATCAAGAGCTCGGCGAAGAGCTAAAAGGCGGCGAGCATTGAGAATTTGAATATGTCACGCCAACCGGTTACCCAGATCGAGAATTTTTGCACTAGGCGCAGGCGTTCTGAGGTACGTTCGAGGAAATACGCACTACTATCTAGTCATGAGAAAGAGTGAACGATTTCCGATGGGCGTAGAACGTCATCCACTTCGTCTTGAAGCGCGCCCCGGATCTACAATGTCTACGGTGGATCGTTACGAGGCCAAAGGTTTGATGCCGACCTTCGCGAAGTTTGTACCACTCTCCTCAAGTATTGTGTGTATCCAGAGGGCGCGAGCAACATCGATACAACGATTGACGCTCCTTAAATCTGAACCATCTACTATTTCGGGTTGTTTGAGTATCCTGCCTGATGAGCCAGCGTTGAAAGTGGTATCAGCGTAATAACCAATATTGACGGCATCATCCTGGAATGATTGGAATAGTTGAAATGGTTTTTGTGATGCCACTGTAGCCACAACGAGACATGCAAGAGCAGGTGTTTTCCGTGTGACAATTTCAGGCAACCTCACCCATCCAGAGCAGACTGGACAAGATTTCTCGTGTCCTCGAAGATGGCCGCCTGCCCATGCTCTTCGGAGAACACCGAGTCGAATACGAACTGTTTCGCCCCGTGATGACCGTCCACTTCGACCGTCGAGTCGTCCACAAAACGTACAGCCCGTTTGCAATCTTGGTTCAACTCGTACCTGTTTGGTTTTTGTTGCCGCACACGCATGTCGACGGGTATCAATGACACCAATAGTGGTACACATCTGATTGCACGATCGGCGCCGACAGTAGGTGACGAAGAGAACACAAGGGTTTCTGGGTGGTGCACAAACGCACGATCCCATCAGCAAGAGGCGCTTGGACTATTAGTCTACAGCGAGAATACATGGGAGAAAAAACCGCACGTTCGAAAACAAGCGATGCAACGAGAGCTTTGTGGCTAACGTTCTACCTAGTTTAGTGCAGAGGGAAGAACAAAAGTGGACAATCCATGTGGAGGGACCGGGAAAGACTTTTTGGGCACGGAAAACTAAAAAATGAACCCACATTTGAAACTGATTGATACCAACGCAATATGATACGGCGATCATCTGGTGAGCGGATTGCACGAACAGAGAGGGGGCAACACAACAAAGAGTTCATGGAGGAAGAGATAGTCGGCCGGTCGTATTGGGCGTCAGCATTCCCTGTACTCACTGAGCCAAGGGCCTGCATCGCGCGAACACCCTGATCTTGCCCTTCATGTCCTCCATCATGTTCCAGTACTTCTTCCGCAACGACTGTAACCGAGAAGGGCGACAGGTTGGTCCGTTACAGGAAAAGATAGTGGAAAAATATGAAAATTTCACTGGAGTGACATCGACACTGACTTCCTGCAAAGTTGGCATTTGCCAAGGTATAAAACACAGGATCCGAAAGCACACCGTTGCGCACAGTTCAACATCGTCATTGACCGACTTGGCCTTGATTCACGTCCACGCACTACGACACTCTGAGGAAAGCCCGGACGTGCTCTGTGAGCATGCTGGAGTCACAGCTCAGGAGTTTCCGTCGAGGTGCATTTTTCATCACCATTTACGGTCACCCGTACAGCCATACAACTCCACGTCCGGTTGCAGGGTTATTTCACGGCATTCAAACGGTAAAAGAGCCTCCAGGAATTTCCAACTTCAAAGTGCAGTGCGCTGTGTTATCAGCCAAGCCAGATCTTGCCTGCTCTACTTGGAAGAGGTCCTCCAGGCGGCTGGTGTTGGCCGTGGCCTCCTCCAGCTCCGATTCCAAACGTGTGGCGGCCTCAGCCCGAGTTCTCAGGACCTGCATCTCCTCACCCATGGTTCCCATGGAAGAGACCTTCCACGTAACACACGCAGTTTGAACAATACGGAATGAATTATATTTCATTGCACCATCAGCCGAGGGCTGGGAAGGGGTTCCTAAAGAAAGCTTTGGTCGTTTTACCTCCGAATGTTGCCTGGCCTGCACTCGCACTCAGTGCCCATTCATTAGTTATATAGTCTTTCTCGGGTGTTGCGTGAAATGGTTCGTTCCCGTTTCCATATGTTTCACTTGCAGATGTTCGACTTTTCCCTCTGTGGTTGCGCATGTTTGGGCAGTTTGTTAAAACGAAGTACCTGGTACTCGATTTTTGGAGACATTCACGGTCCTTCCGTTCTATTGCGCACATATATATACATCGACTACTACAGTATAACCTTTCCCCATGCACCATACAATGACATCATATGAAGTAAGATGGAAAGTTCCTGTTCATCTCGGGACCGTTCCTGTTTGATCAATGATGCTTTCGCAATGCCTCGTACCTGCTGGCGTAGGTCGTCTCGTTCTTTCTTGAGCTGCGCGAGGTCATTCTTGCAGCTCTCCCAGCCCTTGGCGGCCGCCTCGAGCTCAGCGCCGAGTTTCTACCGGTATTCGGATCGAAAATCGGTTCGTGCTGTTCAGAGGAGCACCTCATTTTCTCAGTAGAGTGAAAGTGGCAATGGCCAGCAACTGTACTATTCAAATTAAGGACGCCCAATGCCACTCGGAGCGCTGTACAGCAACACTGCACAGACTTTCTAGGATCACGTCTTCGCTTCCACTATTGCTGAACGCTGAAGTACGTCAACGAAGAAAATAGACATCCAGGGGACGACTATTCAAGGGATGAGGAGCAACTCCAATTTTTTCTCTGAAACTCAATACCTGTTGATTATTGTACGTATTCCTTCGCTCACAGGTCCCACCCCTCCCCTCCAATAATTATCTCTTCCAGAAAGAGAAGTCTTATTCGGTCTCGGGCATAACATCCTGCGATGCGCCGCTCATGGATACGTCCATGGTCGCGCTAGTGGACACGCACGACGTGCTTTCTGCAACTGCGCTGCTCGCTTACAACAACTCGTTAGGTATTGAACTCCCACAGCAGCATGACTCCTTAGCAAAGCACTTATCATTCGCTCCCACGCATACGTAGTCCAAGTCGCTTCTGTTGGTATCCTCGTGTCTGGCGCTCGATGACTGTTGACTGCTATCTGCAGTTGGAGTGAGTTCTCCGCTGTTGCGCTTGTCCATACTTTTCACAGGTTTGGAGAACTGTGGTTCTGGGCGGTAATATTTTCGGTGCTACGGGATCGGCGGATTCAATCACCTTCCCGCTATCAAATTTGTCGGTATTGACTTATATTCTTCGTTGGAATATGATTTCAACAGCCTTAGATGCTCTGCATCGCGAGATTTGTGCGGCGTCTGTGGTCCTCTGTTTACGCGCGAACCCCGTTGTTGTTCCCAGGGTTCATTTCAAATACCAGCGCCAGGCACTTTGCTCTTTGCATCAAACGCACCTCAGTTTCCTTCTGCATCTTGGCCTCCACAGCTTTGACCTTACCCTCTGCAGCGTGGGCTTCGGCTTTGGACGCCTTGCCATTCGCTGCGTTTGAAGCAGCTTTAAGCTTGGCCACGTGCGCCTCAAGTTTCGTCACCTTTTGATGGAGGAGCATGTTGGCACCGGCATTTTGGAGGAACCAAAACGTAAACGTGCGAACAACTGAATTAAGACAGGTTGGGTTTATGAACCACAGAACATGAACACGTTGGCAAGTCCAAGCTTGATAACGATGTCACAATTTCGTGCGTGACGCTTCTACTGTACAATCAGGCCCATGATAGTGAAAAGGGACAGACTGAGTGTTTTCTCTACACACCATCGGTGCGCGGGTTGCATTGTGCATGCCTTCATTATTTTCCGCACCTGGTCAACCCCGTCTTTGTTCTTCTGCTCCAAGGATTTGATCCTTAGCGCATCAGCCCGAGCCCGGGCAGACGACACGCCACCGCTTCCACCTTGTGGCGCTTTGCTGCCTATACCGTCGCTTCCTGCGGCTGGCGGCTGCTCGGCAAGCGCTTCGCGTAAAGCTTTGCACTCCACTGCGAAAAGGGAATAGTCGACGCCGTTTGGAGGATGAAAGTGCTAGATTTCTTTCGCTCTCCGCATGTGATACCCATATTCCTTTCAGTGGCCATGTTTTGGCTACTTAGTCCCTTTTGCTTGTGAGAAATGAATCTAGTTGTCGGAAACGAGACGATAGAGAAGTTTGGCGAGCTCCTTTCGTGTTCGACGTCTCAAGAGAACTACTAGCGTCCTGCTCTACATAGGTAGGTAAATCTGCAAGTCAACTCCCACGGTTTTTGCACCTAAAGCTAGGCTGTGAATGGTCACAACCAAATGGGGGATGGATTTAGTTTGTCGACCAGAGTGAAAGCCTTTCAATTGAAAAGCGAGACGCGAAATCAAGGCGGGTAGGGACTCAACCTATTAGCCGAATAAAATGCTCTGCGGGGTTCATGAAGGATGTCGACGAAGAGCAGACAATCACAGCCACATCTACCCTGAACGTATATCCAAACAGCCCCTTAGGCGACCCACCCTCCAGGTCATCGATCTTGTCTTCCATCTCCGTGCACCTCCGCGTGGCAACCTCCAACAAAGACGCACCCCCCTTGGCCTTTCCTTCTCCTTCTCCCTCTCCGTCTCCGTCGTCGTCGTCGTCGTCGTCGTCGTCGTCATCATCGTCCGAGAACCCGTCTCCGGACAAAGCCGCGGCCGCCACCGCCGCCGCCGCCGACTCCTTCTGCCTCGCCGACAGCGCTTCGAGCTGCCGCTGCAGGGACGCCACCTTGGTCGTGCTGCCATCCTGCTTCGCCGCGTTCTCGTTGCCTTCGTCGGCGGAGGAAGCGGAGGCAGCGAGCGCGGTCGCGATGGCGGCGGCGTTTTGTGCCACATCGGCAGCCGTGTTCCCTGCAGCGGTGGGAGCAGCGGCGTTTCTCGCAGGCGAAACACTTCCGGAGGCGGAGGCGGAGGCAGGGGACGATGCTCCGCCTCGGCTACCGCGCCCGCGCCCCCCCGTTGCCGAAGATGCGCTGTTCCGATTGCTGTTCGAGCCGGATCTGCGGGCTGCGCTCCGCTGTTGTTCGAGGGTCCCCTTGGCAACCATCGCCGCTTCAATGACCGTGTCGAACGCTTTGCGGAGAGCTATCGCCGCCTTGGCAGGGTTGAGGCCCCTGGCAAACACCAAGCGCAGGGATGCACCACCCCAGAAGCAGAGGCATTGCTCATGACGAGAAAAAAGCTCCGCGAGTTGAGGTTCTGTATTACATGCGGTGGACTGTTCTTCAATATTGTTTGTGCCGACTGTAATACGCAGCGGACAAAGGACTTTGGTCCACATTCCCAACCGCACGAAGAGAAAGTACACACGCCCATTTTCAGTTCATGTAATACCCTACAACAGAACCCAGCGCGGCAATAAGCGTCGATCCATTTCTGGACGCTGGGTTCGACAGCAAACGGTTCATCAACTATGTACGCTGCGTTCCGAAATGGCGCTTACTTGGCCGCTGCTATAGCAACGCGAAGGTCGTCCACGGCCTGCCCCGGAGGCATCTGGGACACCGCGCGGCCACCGGCCTTGACGTACAGGGCGTGGCACTCCTCCCGGCGCTCCCTCTTCCAGAGCTCGGTGCCCTCCTTAATGGCGTGGACGAGAGTTGCGGCGGCCAGTCGCAGCTGTTCCGCGGTCCGCCTTCGAGACGAGATAGTTTTTTCGCCGAGTTGCGCCAAGATACATGAGGATAAGAATGAGGCTTAACACCAGTATTTCGTGGGCCTTCCGCACCACACCGATCATGTTGGCCTTCTGTGCATTCCCAACATGCTGGCAGCAACCCTTGGGGTCCGTTTACCCGGCCTGAAAAGAGGCACAATTTGACGGGGATCTACTACTTCTTCTAGCGGAGCAAAAATTGCGGGACCGAGGGTGGCTCTACCAATACATTCTACGTGTCGAGCTGTCGTACTCCATTCGGAATAAATCTACGCTTGTCCTTGTGGCCGAGCGGGAAACGGTCGAAAAGAGGCCTGACGTCATGCACGAAATGTTTCGAGGCGCCCGCGTTGTTCGAGGTGCAAGGTTCACCCGTAAATAATAAGATGGCATGTGTTGTGAACGAGCCTTGGTAGCAGCGGGAACAAAGTGCAGGCCTTCTTTCAACATACTGCGGGGAGTGGAGGATTACCGAGCGAATTCCAAGCTATATCCTTTCTGTCCATTACTATCTTTCCCGGGTGAATAGTTAGCATCAGCATTCGCGCATTTCTCGCGCGAAAAGCAGGGTAGCATGCTTTGCCTCTTGCGTCGCAGGCCACGGCGCGACGCACCGATTTCCCGACACAGTTGGCGGTCGCCCCCCTGGCGCCCGTTGCGGTTTTGCCAGTGCCCCCGTTGTTGAGGCGGCAGAGGCCTGCCCGGCGTCTCGGCTGGCTCGCCTGAACTTGGCAGCGTTCAAGGCCGATTCCTGCCGGGCTTTGGCGGCCTCTTCCGTGTGTGCGGCCACGAGTTCCATAGCAAGTGCAGCCCTTTGGGATACGGTGGCGGAGCGGACAGCGGTACGGTGCGGCGGTGAATCGATCGAGATCGCTGATGTTGCTGTTGTTGGATGACGAAACATGGAATGCCCATGTTTTTGCCTCCTCGCGCGGAGTAGGGCATCGGAAGCTCGGCAACTGACAGGGAAGCAAGTTCACGATTGCATGTCTTGTACGATACCGGTGGCATACGTTGTCATTCAAAGATTGCTCCGAAATAGAGACATGTCATCCTTCCCATGTCATCCTCCCCATGGAAGCGAGACGGGCCCTGTCCAACCTGTCGGCTACACCGCCACGGATTTTCCGGGGAGTAAGACTAGATTGGTATGACCCAATATGCACGCCTTTGTTGCTGCTCCTTGCTCTTTCTGCGCACCTTTCTTGCGCCATTTCCATTCCTCGGGATAAGGCTTCCTTCTCCTTTTCCAGCGAGGCGACTGCTGACACGAGGCCGGCCTCTCGCTCCCGCTGTTTCTCCTGCCTGACGCTGGTAATGTTGTGTTGCGGGCGAGCGCGCGTGTTTAAGGTCCACATTCTGTAGCGATGATTTCGCCCGTTCATTTGTACAATCGGCCCCACCCTCAGTGTTGTTCATGGGATCGATGTCGTGAAACGTTCAGTTGTATTGGCCATACTTGTCATTGATTTGATCAGCCAGCAAAGGCGTGGGAAAGGAAGTAAAATTGAAGGGGGAATATTTCCCCGCTCTGGTTAAGATAGTCAACCCCGCCCAATGCTTTAGCCCACTTGCCACACACCTCGCCCGCTGTAGCTCATCGGCCATTCTCTCGGCCTCGCCTTTCGCGTCCTGCTCCCTCTCCCTCAGGTTCTGCAGCTCCTTCTCCGCATTTTCTAGCTCCCGGGCTTTCCGCTCCGCCGGAGAAAGGCCATCGCCGCCATCGCCGGCTTCGCTGACCCAGGCTTCGACGCTACCACTACGATCGATACCTTGCTTCGTGTCGGAGATGGTGTCAGCGGCGGCAACTGCGGCGGCTGCGGCTCCGACGGTGCTTGCGCCACAGACGGTGATCTCTGTTTTGGTGTCGAGGGCATCTAGCATTGGCGATGGTGGCGCTGCAGATCGTGCGGAATCGGCGGCACTGGCGACAGCAACACTAGCACCAGAGAGAGCTGTTGCCTTCGACAGCTCTTCTTTCAGGGACCGCACCTGTGTTTCGAGGTCGATAGCAATGCACAACGATCCGGAAGAGTATTGTGACAACGAACGGAAGGAAGGAACGGAAGGAAGACAAGAAATGCAATATGGAGAAGTTCCGGATAACGGTTGGGTCGAAACCTCGCACAACGCTAGTCGTTGAAACATGCACGAATGCGTGGTAAGGGTTAGTCTGTTGAGGACCGTCTTGCCTTCCACTCAGCCTCTGCGCGACCACGTTTAATGCCCGCCTGTAGCCCGCGCGCCTCGGCAGCCTCCGCCTCGCTCTCTGCGTTCGCAGCCGCGTCCCAACCGGCGGTGGCGGCTCTAGATTTAGCGTCGAGGTCGACTTTGAGTGCCTCCACCTTTCGATGGGCAACACCATTGCGGGGATGGACACGAGAAGGGGTCGAAAAAGATCGAGGTCGGATGTTTGGCGATATTCGTGTTGAGAAACTTTGACATGGTCGTGTTGGTCTCGCTGCAAACAATCACGTTCAACGGCGAAAGGATTAGCTGGATCGTACTGCCTCGCCCAGGCGTTCCTTTCGGTGGTATACCTAGAATGATGCATCACAAGATAAACCAATTGAAACAGGGTGTGATACCTTGCACCTTGCATCTTTCGGTAGTCCATGCACCATCCTAACAAACTACCAGGGCTTTGAGGTGGTAAAATATCCTCATCAAGGGTGGAAAGTACACCCAACGGAAAATGTTGTCTTCATGCACGGTAGGCCTTGATTGAGGGAACGATTGACCTCTAGCTTGTCTTCTGTCACGCGCAGTAGGCAGTGATCGCTCGCCTGATCTCGAAGCCGCGCCGCTTCGGAGGCCTCGTCCACAACGAGTTGACAGGCCTTGAGCTCTTCCCTCGCCGCCTCCAGCGCGAGCGAAGCCTGTTCGCGCAGGTGCTCCGATTTCTTCGATGCCAAGGCCGCATCGCGAGCCTCCTACAGGCGAGGCGGGGAAACGAATGGAAACGATAACGGTAGGAAGCACGCAGGTTTGATAATCGTCCTAGAGGTCGTAGAGGGTTGAAGGGTGTATCCTCCCGTGCCAACGCTGTGTGTCACTCGAACGCTCTCAGGTCAGGTTTGAAAGTTGACGAACTCTGATTGCGATGAGCAATCAATGCGGAAAACCTTAGGCGCACGATATTCGTCGTAAGGTTTCACCCAGCGTCCATAAGGACCAAGCCATCTCCCCACGAGTATCTTGTCGGTTCAAGTCATTAGCCACATCCCTGTGAGACACTTTTTCGTGAACTTGGCGAACCCGTTGAACACGTAGTGCGTGACTGAACACAACAGCGCCCTCGCTCTCGCCTGCTGGGCGACCCGTAAGCTCTCGTCCAACTCCGCCTCCCTGATGCCCGTATCTTCCGCCGCCAAGGCCCCTTCTTTTTCGAGTGTTGAGATTGTCTGCTGGGCTGATTGCCCGCCATCCTTCTGCTGAAAGGGAACCACCGCTGCTGGGTCGGAGGAGGGGGATGGCGGTTCCAATGCAGTCGCGCTGGAATGCACGCTACCCAGCATCCTAGAACGGTTGATGATTTGTGCGCCGGTGTGGAGGAAGTGCAAGGTGGATGGGCGGAAATAGAACGAGAGTGTATAAGAAAAGGAGGAGGGGGAACGCAGTTTTGGGCCCGACTTTCGATGAGAGAGGCAACCTCGTCAGCCCCAAACCAGATCGTTGGGTCCGAACATCTGAACGTTCCTTTCCCCTCCGAAGGGACAATGCGGTGTTTCACTCACTTGACGGTTGTGTTGTTGAGCTCTCCTAACGCCGTCTTGAGCTGCGCTTTCCTCCTCTCGGACTCCTCCAGCTTTGCTGTCAGTGAAGTATTCTCTTCGCGGAGCTTTTCGAGCATGGCTGTGGCTGCGGCGGCGTCGACGGCCGCCGTCGACGTGTCCCCGAAGCCGGCGCCGGCAGCGTACCCACCGCCGAAGCCGGCCATAGCGGGAGTGGCAGGCGTGTTGGGCATGGTCGTTGCTCCTCCGCCGCCCTCTGCCGCAAGACTATCATTCTTCTCTATTTGGGCCTGAACGAGGGCGTTGCGATTCGAGATGGCGGAGGGGGGCAGCGCGAGGTTTTGGTATGTTGTGTGCGTGTAGTCGATTTCCCGACGGCAGCCGCGGGCAACAACTTTGGTTTCAGGCATGGCAGCCGAGTGGCGGAGCGCGGTGGAGGTCGTGGCTTACCTCCAGTGCCTGAATGTCTGCCGCGAGCTTGGCTAAAGCTTTCTCCAGCTTCTTGTGCTCGACAAACTTATCCCTGATTGCCCCCTGGAGAAACGTTTCGGGGAACCATTGAAGTCGAGGCGGGGCGGGCAGGAGCGGCGGTAGGAACGAAACCCCCGTGGGCATGGAAAGAACGTCGACGTCGGAGTAGAAATTGGCATTTCATTGTTGATCCATCGAAAAAATGAAAGCATTGTTTCATGAACGGGCTACTTGATTGTCGTTGTCAGTAGTAGGGGGTGAAACCTAATGTCCACATCGAGCTATATCACCACCAGCTGTTGTCATACCAGTGCATTAGGTTAGACAGCGTATCGCTTAAACCCGTTGCGCTGGCTACCGCTTGCTCTTTGCTGCGGAATACAAGTGCATCTCTGTGTCTGTCCGGAGGCGTACGACGGCCTCAACGAAGTACCCAAAACCGCGAGCATATGGATGCTTTGAGACTCGAGGTCACCAGGTGAGAAGCGACGTTGTTGTTACCAGCGTCGGAAGGGTGCGTAGGGTGCTGATCACGGTGCGCCGGTTTTTCATGCTCCCCTGCCGCTACAGCAGTCGAGGTTGGTCGTTCGTTCACCTTTTCTTCGTTGCCAGCCGGCCTGCCCTCCCTTTCTTCGAAGTCTTTTAGCCATCCCTTGATTTCGGCCTTGACCTATCGGTGAACAGCAACATCGTCAAACGTTAACTTTCACATCGAATGCCTCTCTCTCGTTGTTGGCCGCTTCTTTCGGAAAAAAGTTCGTGTTGAGGGTGCGATGCTGGTCGATCCCCACTAACGTGGAAACTGTACGCCGCGGTGGTGAAAAAAACAATCTCACACACCATTCTTCTCCCGCCAAGCACAATAAAGCAGTTGCGTTAGCCTCAAGATGAGTGTTAGGGTGTGGTCGAACGGAGAATCTTGCGATGTCTTTGCAAGCAGCGTACGCGTGTTTGTCGACACATACATGCACACCTGAACAAGTTGCCATGGATGTATACCAAAATAGTGTGTGATCGATCGCTAGAACAACGTTTCGCGGGAGACAGCGCAATCCCCGACATAGGATAATGGTTCAAACTTTGTTGGACAACGTTGGCAATTGCTTTACAAAATACCTTCTTCTTCGCGACCGTCGTGGCCTGCAGCTCGGCCTTGAGCTCCTCCAACCTCAAAGCCTCCGAGCTTGGCCCCTTCTCAATCTTCAGACCGACACCGACCCCAACAGGGGTCGCAATGCCCTCGCCTCCAGCCACAACCGCGGCCTCTGCCAAAGAAGCCGCCGATTCCTCCGCCCCTCGGCCAGCTGCACCGACACCCGCCGCGGCCGCGGCCGCCAGTGACGCCGTCGCAGTTGACGCCACAGTGGGCGTTGTCGCCGTGACGGCAACCAACGGCGCGGGGGCGACGGAGGGCGCTAGTAACTGCTTCTCTGCGCTGTGTGCCGCTGCACGAGCATCCGCCGCCTGTTGTTTGGCTGTCGCCAACTCCTCCGTGAGGGAGATAGCTTGAGCCTGCGTGTTGCGGTGGGTACCGCATGCGGGAGTGCGTACGTACGAGAAATATGGGAGGAAGTGGGCTACAAGAATAACTGCGCGTAATCATGAGGGGGGCTGGTGATTCACTTTCCCGGCATCATCTCGAGAGTGTTTTCACAATTCTGGGAAAGACGACCTGTACACCAGCATTCCACGTTGTCCGAGAGGCACAAACAAAAGACACCGCCACAAAGGCCAAACTCCACACCTGATACCGTTCCCAAACTCGTACCTCTAGCTCCGCGACCCGCTGTGTTGAAACTCCGAGTGCTTTCTTATCCTGTTCCGCCTCCTCACGCTTCTTCTGCTCTGCAACGGCGTCTTCCATCGCCTTCTCCATGGCCTTTTTCTCCTCCTCGGCTTCTGCAGCTTCCTGTTCGCCAACCGTTTGCACAGTTTCCGGTTCTCCTGCCTCCAGCTCCACCCTAGGCGTCTCCGATACGGCACCATCTGGTGCCTTTGCGCGGCTGTTGGCGAGTGCCTTTGCGTCATGATGCAACTGCTCGACGTGAACCACGACCCCATGTTCAAACGCGCAAGACGGACTAAGGAACTTGAGGAGGAGCTCGACCACGAAGCATTGGTCTATGATACCCCAATGGACTGTTTTCCTAGGCAATGGAAACAAAGATGGCTCACCGCAAAGTCTAATGACCAGACGTAATGATTCCAGACGTGATGGCTTGCCTTTTTTCATCTAGTCTACCACTCGTAATTGGGCCCGACCAAGATGGTTCGGGCATTGGTCATCTGAAATAGCGAAGTAGATAGCCACGAGCATCCCCGGACTTTGATCCGTTTAGAAAGGCACAAACAATCGGTTGCCCTAGTCTAAGGTTTTCCTATCTTACACGAACCACGACGTAAGGTCTACGCGACGCCGAATCCCATGCTGTTTGACACATTTTTCCTTGCGGGGCTATGAAGGGTTTGCATTTCACCAATTCACTCCGCCACACACCTGTCGGACGGTGGCATGCTCTTTCTCCAGGAGGTTCGACAGGACGGTCACCCTTGCCGCCGCTTCTCTGGCCTCTCGCCTCCGCCGGACAAGCTCCAGTACCACCATGAAGCTATTGGGAAGACACCACGAAATATTTCGCCAGTTTCGAGTTTGCTTTCGATTCGAGCATGCTAGTTTGGACAGCACATCATGGGTGCAGTCTATTCGGCAGGACGAAAAGCAACAACAGTTCGTAGGCGCTTGTTGTCCTGCTGTCTGGTCTATTCGGGGGGCGATTGGCTCCGTGAGTTTGGGAGAGCCTGCACAGGGTATTCGGCGTTCGGTCATCCTCCACTCCAAGCTAGCAAGAGAAGTGCGTCAACCCTGCTGTGGTAGAGCACGAAATCTCTCGATCACGAACTCGCGGACTTCCCTAGGCAGAAGACGTTATCGTGTCGAAAAAAAAAAAATCTCCGTCAATGGACCAATGGCGTGCTGAACACGTTGGGGTGGTGTTGGGTTCGTCCTTGTAAGGGGGAACTGGTGGTAAAATAGACGGACGCGTTTGGCGGTCCAGAAGTTCTGAGTTTGGTAGAACCAAGGTCGACTCACTTGTTTTCGTCTTCTGCCATAGCTTCTGCCTGTTCCCGCTCCACACGCGCTCTGACAGCTTCACCCGCATCGTCGCCCCCCTGATTGATCGCCCCATGCTGCTGGCTCTGAACTATGTCTTCCTTCTCTACACCGGATCCTGACGGCATCACCTTCTTACTCATTTCCTGCTTTTTCATGGGGTGCCGATGTGCGAATGGGCAAGAGACCAAAGGAGAGCATTCCGTCCCATTCGCCAATCCGACGTGTCCTTGTCGCCCCGTGGTTCATGCTGCTAGCTGGAAGCCGGCAAGCCTTCTCCAAGGTATTTCCTAACCTTGGGATACCTGGAACAGCGGTGAACTACTCCCCCCTCCCCTGTACAAGCAATTTATCTTGTCGAGATACTTCCGAGGGAATTCCGAAATCACGATGTCCGGCGTAGGGGAAGCTGTGCAAGTGCGCTAGCTCGCTCGAGGAATCGAACAAGCCGCAAGGCACAGTCTCTTCACTACGCTGCGGCGAGTGGTTCGGGCAGCAGCCCACGAAATACACGGGCGTCAAGTTTTCTACCATCCTCGACGGCACCTACCTCGAGCTCCGCCTTCAATATGATGGCCTCTTCTCGAAGGGTTTGACCTTCCTTACTCAGCTGAGCGTTCTCATCTCGAAGGGACTGGGTGACGCTCATAGCCTAACCACGATGCGCGCATGGAGAGTTAGAATGGGTGGATAGTGCGAAATATTGAAGCATGGAGAACGGAGAGTCATATTACATTATTGGATTAGAAGATGCACGTCAACGAGTCACGCAGGCCGAAGGTGACTTACGAGCCCAATTGTACTATCTCCATGTTACGCGGATAACCGTGGGGATCTACATCGAGTCTCTACCCCCAAACGTTCCGGGGAAGCGGGCGGGGCGATTGATCGAAGCATGAACACGCAGGAAAGCGAAGATCTGAGCCCTCTTTCTTCCGCCATTTGATTCACGGATATAATCCTCCCCGTCTGCTTAGCCTACCTGAGTCAATTCTGTCCTTAGGAGGCCCTGCTCGCCCTTTGCGGTTGTCAGCCCCCTGTGCAGGTCTTCACGGCTGTGATGGTGCTCCCTCTCCTCCACAGCCGAGACAACATTCTACGCAGCGCAACAACAAAACGGGACCAGCGACGACACAGACGATGTTGACCGATGGTGAATCACAGAAGCGTTTTTCATCTCGTGTTTGGCGGGTACGTGATCCCAGCCGCAGGAACGGAGTTTATTCTTTTTCGTAGCGAATGCTCTTCGCTTTGACAGCAGTTGTTCTATTCAACGGCCGGAGAAGCACTGCTTATGAATGTACTTCCAAACTCACCGAAAGAACCAGAGCAACAGTTGTTCGCACGGCCTTGTCCTCAAGCGCTACCCTTTGGATGCTCCTTCGCCTCGCGTCTTCCGTTCTGTATTCGGCATGCATTGGGTTGAGGATGCGATTCTGGTACACAAAAGTTGTTCGGGGTACAATCACCAAACCTCTGCGGGATGCAAACCTTTGGCAGGGCCGACAGGCTACTGGTGGCCTTGTAGCCGTCTCCTGCCTCCATACTGTGTCTGCGAGCTGTTTCCGAGAATCCACAGTCGAAGCTCCACCTGTTGAAGCCGTCGTTCTCGACCCTTCTTTCAACAAGTCGATCGCTAAAACGTTGACCGAATCGCTTTACCAACCCACCCACACACTAAACGACCCAAGCATCGTGCGGATCGATCAATTCCAAAGGTCTTCTTTCGGACACTAAATTGTACCAGTATGTGCATTACCCCTATAACGTGCCGTCGGGCGGTGGTGAGGTTGGATGGAATAGCCTGCTTACCGGGGCAAGGTCCTCGGGCCGTCTTCAAACAAACGTCGTCAACAACAACGAACGGGTCAGTTTGCTACATTGGCACATGTGTGTTGAACGGCACAGTCATGCCCACAACGTGTGCCAGTCAACCCGTCCGAGTCCTTGACAACGACTGCGCGAGTATCCCTCAACGACAGGTACAGAAACGTGTCTCGTACAGGTCGAGACAGCCGGGCCATTTCTGTGGCGTGCGGACCCACCGGCTCTGCACTGCAGCCTCCGACGCCTGCTTCGCGGCACTCTGGGCCGTGCTCAGCACTCGCCGGGTCTCTTCTGCCATGTTTTGCTTAACAGCGTTGAATTCGGCCACATCGCCCACACGCATCAGTCGCTCCTTCTCCCGTTCTGCGGCAAATTCTTGTTCCCTAGCAGCAGCGGCAGCCTTGCCGAGCAGGGTTCCAAGAGGGAGGGAAAGCTCCGTTTAGTGGTGTGTGCTCTAACTTTCAGAATCTGAAACTTGACGGGATATCTGCTTAAGCGGTGCGTCAACGCAAGCAGATGCTCATGTGCAATACGTTCCTTCGTTGGGAGAAAAGAACTTTGGAGAAAAACAGCGCGTATGACATAAATGGGGAGGCGAATGCAAGGGGATCACTGCAACTACGCCTTTGGATACGTACGCGCCACTAGTTTTTTGTCATCCATCTTGCGGGTTGGTCCGTCGAACTACCCTCACCGTCTGCGAGGCAATCTTGTCCCTGAGATTCTCGACTAGCTCTTCCTGCGTCTTACTCTCCTTCGCCAGCCGGCGGAGCTCCGTTCGCATTTCCTGCTGAAGACGCAGAATCAGGTCGGCGTAGTGCCTACCAAAACGAGAATGCGGAACACGGTCAGACCATTCAGAGGGGTGCTCTTTGCGGTGCTCTCGACCTCTAACACTGTAGTTGAAGCAAACCCACCATACGCTAAGGTGCAATAGTGGGCCGGTACAGTTTTTGCAGAAGGTGCGTCACGCTTAAGAAACCTTTCTGCGATTCACGATGATGAACGTGGAACACCGGCCTCTCCATCTCTACCTCGTTGTTCTTTGGTTGATCGCGCGGTACGTGGCGTCGAGAGTCACCACAACATTCTGGTGCCTTGTCTTGGTCTCCTCGGCGGTCGCCCCCGCCTGAGTGGCCAACAACGACCACGCGCAGCCGACCAAGGTTACCGAACAACAACACTCAAGGGAAATGGACTTGTTTGGTTGGACGAGGTCAACCAAGCCGTCCTGCCGAGGCCAGCAGCTCAATCCTTTCGTACTTTCGAACACCACGTGTGGACGTAAGGCAATTTCCACAAAGGGCTGGTATGGTCGCGAATTGGCTCTCCTACAGTCTGGGAAAAAATTGTTTTCGCGGATGCCCAGACTCTGTCTGACACTTAGCAGAGCGTTGTCTTTCGCCGGGAAATTCAGGGGCGGCCACTCTATTTGAGATGGTGCTACAAGCTAAATCGAAGGAAATCAATTCTTGGCAGCGCCGGTTATCAGGTTGGAACGATCGTCGCGGGTTCTGGTGATGGACAGAATTAATCGGCGATGCTGAGGATTCAGCGGTGGGAGGGCCTGAAAGGCAAGCAGTCGGTTCCGACCGACCTGCATGTATGTGCGGTCCCACTACGTTCCACAGTGTCCAGAGTGCTTCAAACATGACTTTTCTGCGCGTGCACCTGCTCAAGGATCTTCTCCGCACAGCCCATTGGCACGTACGTCGCCCTCGGCTGCTGCTTGATGTGATCCATGAACTTTTGCATCTCTTCCTGGGGAATCAAAGCGGGCCGTAGTTTGGAAAGGTGTTGGCTAGGGGCAACCCGCGAAGAGGTGGACTGCGGAGTTGCGCACTCACGGAGGACGCGGATCATGAAAGCATGATGACAAATAGCGTCTGAGGGTTAAACTCGACGGCGGGTGGCACCATACAGGGGCTGACTTGTGCTCGTCATGGAATCTATCTTGCACACCCGCGACCCCGCTTTACATAGTCAATCTCACAATAACGTCTCGCTCGTTCGGGAGTAATTTCCCGTATTTTTGCTGTGGTCTCTCTGCTATTGGCGGAAATCTCTGCTGTAGTAGCCACACCGAGTATTCTTCACTACGTCTCCCCGCTCACATGTTTCTCAGATTCGATCCCGAGATCCTTGGAAGAACCCAACACCGCCGCCCCTGCGGAAGACGCTGAGATCCGACGCTTGAACAACGCTTCTTTGGAGCCGGGGAGGGGTTTGATGTGGCCGAGAACCTTGCCCGATCCAATATCCAAGATCGAGATTGTGGGTATAAAACAAAAAGCCGTCGAAACCAAAACACTGCCGGCGAAACTATCTTGGAGCCTGTGGTCATAGATTGTGTTTTCATCTCCCGCACCGTTGATGCATTTGGCACAGCAGAGGGACTACGAAGGACGCTTCGACCTTCCCTAAGTTACACTCAATTGCATATACAGTAACATAAACCAGATAAGCTTACCACCGAACCCGGAAATCTGAGGCTTCGTAGTTTAGCTGTGACTACGTAGGAAATGTACTAGGGGGCAGTATTCGGAAGTCTTGCATCAAGTAGTACACATAGAATGGACACATGACCAGCTTTGGAGCGATACCCTCAAGTTGGTTCGAACCTACGGTAGACCGAGATCTGCTGCCAGTTCTAATATGGAATCCCTATTCCGAATGGCGTACCTGTTCGAGCTCATTGTCCGTCAAGGACTTTCTCGTTGTTGTACTCTTTCTTCGAGATTCGGCATTGACGACTTCCGCGAGATCTCGCAACGCCTATTCAAGGGGGGTAGGTCACTTATGTATGTTGACGTCGTTCCTCATGGGAAGTACGCATCCAATCAAAAAGACATTGTTGGGATGTTGTTTCAATTGCCGTCTCGATAGACTGCCCGATTATGGCGCGTTTACTATTGAGCGCGCAGTAGACACGGGTGCTTGGAGAACTGCATGTACGTGAAAACTGCGAAGCAAACTCTTGGCGGCGAACCTCCGGTTGATCATGCCCGCGTTGGCTGGAAGCATGTTCAACGTCTACATCCCACACTTCTTATTTCCAATTGCATTGTGCCGTTATGAGCAAATTGGGTGCTTGTTGGCTACTACTGTACACGACAACACGTGCTTGCATTGCACCTGCGCCTACGAATGTGTACATCTGCGACTGCTGGACTACCAGAAACATTCTACAGACACCCACCGATTCTTCTTTCGTTTCTCCTTCTTCTCCATCTGCGGCACCGTCCTTGTAGAGGGGGTTCCTCCCACCGAGCGGTTGCTGATCGCCGATAGGGCCGTCGACATCAGCCCCTTCCGCTTGATTGTTAATGACCGCGTCCGCCGCCAGGACATTTTTGATGCTGGCTTTCCGTGCGGGACCGACTTTGCTGGTCTGGCCTGACCACCTCCGCAACATAGCTGGGAATCAATCCTCTGCTGGACGAACTACGATTTGCACCAGCAGCACGTGCTTGTAGAAAGATGGTGACGGTTTGGCCCACTATGTTGAGGGGTCGTCCACAATGAAAAGTCTGTCACGTCAGCAAACACGTGGAGTTGCGAGGTCGTCACGGTGCACGTGTATGTACGTGAACGGAGACCGACGGGCACGTGCCGAGAGACGCGGTTTACCCGTGGAACAGCTCTATGTCGCGGAAGAACCGGGCATGGTTCATGTTGAACGTTGTGAGGGGGGCGATGAGCGGAGGTCAGGCGCGACAGTCCCGCCGCTGTGTGCGTACGACAACGCATTTCGTCTCCGCGGAACGGCAGCCTCGACACAGCAAAGAGTCTAGCCGTTTCATGCATTGGACAGCAACTTGCCGATACACAGAACCACAACATACAGTGCATAACCATGGGTCGCTGATGCTATATCTGCGGAGCCCCTACAGGAAGCCGGCGCCAGCGCGCGCCTGGGTTGTCACGTTGTCACTGCTGTCCGCGATAGTTGGCTAATTGTCGGGCTCTGTGGTGGGAATCACACAGTTGTGATCTTCTGGATTCTCTATGGCTCCCAATAACAAGACCGTATCAGCCGGCACGCATCCCCATGGTGGCGGGGGCCAAGCCTTCACGGGGCAGAAGTGCCCCTTTGCTTCTTTGGCACCGCAGGCGGCCAGGTGAGTGTGCGTGAGCATCGACCGCAAGACTTCCGTACGCATGCGTAGTTGATGGTTTTGGCCTTCTTTTTTGACACCCCAACAGCAGCCCGTGCAGTTAACAGCACTGAGGGCGGTATGCTCTGTGCTGTCATGTGAAGGCATGATCACTTATCTTTCGATTACATACAGCAGTAGTGTATATGCATATGTACGTACCAGAGCGTAGAACGACAAATAGCCGCATCTTTGATGCACGGCCCTTTGATATACCAGCCCATGCTTAGAGCCAGCAGCAGCACGGCTCCGTCTCCTCCCGTCACCATGCCTGACGAAACCTAACGTAGTCTCTCTGATGCGGATTCTGGACATCGAGGGTGCACGAATCGTTTTGCTTGTACGTTTCACGGGCTCTTGGTGACGTGACCAGCGTCCCCGTGGTGCGGACAACCGGAGGTTGAATGTTTTGTTCGATCCCAATCCCGCCCATGGGTTTCAGTAACCTTGCTATATATGCATCTAGAGGGCCGCAGAGAAGCCCGACAACCTTTCGTGGTTGGGACACCAAACCACCAGTTCAACAAGCGTGCAAAAGCTTTGTTTTTCCGGGACCGGCATCAAGCGAGACTACCTCGAAGAATATTTTTTCCGTACGGATCGCTGTTTTGTAACTCCGGAAGGACAACCGCTTCTGCACATGGGTTTCAAATAAAGTCAGCAGATAGAGCAGGCTGCCGGCATGATGCGTCTTCGTGTCGCTATCGCGCACACCCTCCTCGCGGAACCTGTGCGCGGCAGAAGTCTCTCGACTCCTGCCTTTCCCCTTCTCCCTCCTTGCCCTGCGAGCTCTTCGTCATTTGTGGTTTCGTGTTCGACCGGAAGGTGCAGCACTTGTAGACATTCAGACCGCCTCCGCCGACGCCGTTTTTTAGCCGCTTCCCAAGACAATGAGCGGGCGTTCCACGTGTTTGGCGCCCCTTCATGTTGTTCTTTCTTCTGGAAGTTGTTCTCGCTCGTCGCTTCATAGACACACAAGGGGGGATGGAGCCTGATTTTTTTCCAGGATCCTTCGCAGGCTTGTTGTACTCAGCAAACATGTTGGATGAAGCATACAATCGGGGAAGTTGCGTTGGGTTAGGGAATAGGGTCTGCGTACCCCGTTCCTGTGCTTTTGTAGTCAAGAGGGCTCGCGAAGCCGAATTCTGAAAGCACGGCTACCCCCCCCCTCCCCCCCCGCTTACCCCCATTATTTCGGGAGCTTAATCCAGTTTGTTCAAGGCGATTATTGTAAAGGATTTAGTGTGGGTATCGTAAGGTCTATTTTTTCCTTTTTGTATCGCATAGAATTAAAAACTACAACATACATTAAACGTATGGGATTATGGGGAATAACCAACAAAAAAAAAAAAACTGCTCTACACGAGGGGTCCCTCTATGGTGCGGGTATGTGCCAAGCGAAATGACTCGCACTACAGCAGTGGGCACCTGCACTATTTAATAACTTACTTCACCGCTGTCAGTCTTTATTACATGCCAGTATCATATATCATCTTGCGCCAGCCAATTTTCACCCACTCTATATCGGCAACCCGCACTACATAGAGAGACCCCAACTGTAATAGTTGCTGCCTACTCATAATACTAAATGCTATAGTATAGGTTATAGTATGCAACACTACCTCCTAGTTGCAACACCATGTACGGTAGATAACAGCCCCCCCCCCTACCCCCCCACCCCCTGATCTGATCCTTAATCCAGTTTGGGGCAATGCTTCCAAAGTTCGGCTCCGCGAGCCATCTTGCGCTATTAGTTCCTCATGAAACTTTATTTCCGGCGATTTTTTTCCCCATGGACTGGGTTCACGAAAACAACTCGTCGCTGCAGCCAACGGAAGAGGCCGTGTTCTCTTTGTCACGATCCCCGCGTTTTTCGCCTGGAACCTCTGCTTGGATAGGCTGCAGATGCTGAACAATGTTGCGACTTTCGTGATGCTTTACATGGTGCTGGGCCCGGTACATTTGCGTTTCTGCAGAAATCCAGTAGGTCCTTTCTTCAGAAATGTATTACCTGTGGTGTAGTTGCTGCTTGTTCCGACAAAAACTTGCAGTTTTTCCGCTCAAGCTTGTATCCATCAAACTCCAGCGCTGCTATTGCTGCTGCTGCTACCGCTTGTTTGTCACCTCTTCTGCTATTGTTTATATTTATGTTTTCATTACGGATGTCGAACGCTGACCCTCGGAAAAAAATCTCGGCGGTTATGTACGACGACGACGGCCATCGGCAACATCAACTGCAACTACAACTTCAACAACAGTAGCGGCGGTAGCAATCGGAATCCCCACGCGGTGCTGACAAAGCAGAAGTCCATGTACGTTGACGGGCTGGCGGCGCGCATCCACGACGACATGAACTTGGCGGTGCTGGCGGGGATGGCGCTGATGGCCGCCTGGGCAATGTGGGAGTAAGTTTCCGCATTTGTGCCGAATGACTTTCGGTCGTTTGATGGGACACCGGAGTCGTTTTTCCCCGATGCCTTTCCGGCACATATTGTATTTTCTGCCTTTTTGCGAATGTAGTGGAGGTCTTCGAGGGTAAAGAGAGAGAGATGTGCCCGCCCGGGACACGTGCGAACGATATGTTCCTGTAGCTGCCGCGTCGGTAGCATCAGATGTGTCTTCGATGCTAGCCTCCTGCTGCGGCGACGCAGGGGGGTGGACACTGGTGCCGGCGCTTTCGTCGTGGCTACAACTGCTCATGTCTTACCTAGGTCAGCGAAGGCGAATCTACTACGCCCTACCTTGCACGCTGGTGGTGTTGGTTGGTGTGGATATGTCAGATACGGAGACTGATCATGTTGAGCTTCGTTGGTTGGTGGTACACAGAGAAGTCAACGCGTGCCATGATGTCTGCGACTAGTTGTGCGGTAATCCTAGCTTGGCCACCTGTCAGATCTCGATGTTTGTGTGTTACCGCTGTTCTGCAGCGGGGTGAGCCATCAACATCATCTGCTCAGTCCAGACAGTTCAGAATCATTCGTTGGCGAGTAGTTTCACGAATCACTTCACTTCAAGCAGCAGCAACAGAGTAGCCGCAGTTTTTTTGTCAGCGTTGAACAAGCTTAAGGGATAATTGGGGGTTCGCCCTGCACCAACAACAAACGGCAGCGCACGAGCAATAACGAGTGTATGAAAATTCTAGCTGCCTTCCACGTCTTGTAGCACGCCCCTCCTCGCCGCCCAACCCGCCCGCCGCCCGCAACGGAGAACCATCATTGTGCTTCAGAGTACCATTTGTCGTAAAGAAAGATATTTGAGAAAACGAGAAAACCTCCTCACAACACCCTTCGTGCCCTTTTCCCGTTCTCCTTCCTCAACGGCTATGCACCCGTCGACTTTTTTTTCGTTTTGCCCTGGTGTTCCGTGTGTGGAGCAGGGGGGACAGGTGGACCCAGTACGCGCTGACATTATTCGCGGCGGGTTACATGGTGCTGGACGCGTGTTGGATCTTGTGCAACCCTTCGGGCGTCAAGTCGCCAAAAACTGTACTTGTGAGTAATGCGGAGGCGAGAGCGAGTGGACGGGCGGGTAATTCGCTTTGATGTAGGGCCGTGGGTCGCCAACCCTGGGTGGAGGGCTGAGAGACAGAAACCGATAAAAGGGCAGGAGGGGGACGATACGAACATGGAGACGAAAAAGATAGCGAGAAAAAGAGGAGAGCTGGGGATCCTCCGTGGTATCCTCGGGAGAAGCCGTATTGTAGCCCCGCCCAGAGGAGGCGCACGAGCCACTGGGTCCCTGCAATTTTGCGTAAAACCATGACCCTCTTTTCGTTCGCAGCCTCTCGTACCCTCCCTCCGGACACGGTCTGAACCTCTTTCCCTAGAGAGAACGAAGTGGCGGCCGGTAACACCCGTTTTGATGATGGATCAGGCCCCGCACCCAAACCCTTGTTGTGATTCGTATCCCGACCATTGACGCCCGCGGCCCGGGCAACGTCACGCGGCTCCGTGCACGTTTTATAGGGTCACCACGTGGCCACCCTCTCGGTGCTGGTGGACCCCCTGCTCCAGCCGCAGCACGCCTTCTACACGGCGTGCGCGCTGCTGGTGGAGTTCAACACGTTCCTCCTTATCCTACGGCGTCGGGTGTCGTGGGGAGGTCTCCTGGAGGTGCCCTTCGCGTTGTCGTGGGTGGCGCTCAGATTAATTTGGTGAGCGAGCAGGGACGACAGCAGGTTGTTGTGTGACCAAATCGAAGACGATTGGCTCTTAGCAACGGATAGATCTATCTGAACGAACCTGCGTGCGATGAGGCGGAGTTAACCTTCGTCAGAGAGGTGCATTGCTGCTCTTGGCGCTACCACTCTCATGACTAATGGTCCCATCGAAGGAACAATAAATGTACGAACAAAATCCAAACTTGAACGCAAGCACCTACCACGAGAACAGGCCTTCCCGCCTCCCCCGGTTTCTCGACCTCGGTGCACGCTATGCTGGTCCGTCCTCCGGCGCATTCATTGTTAGTTGGTGCTAAGAAGGGTCAGTCAGGGTGATAAAGAGAGTTCGCTTCCTACCGGTCTGGCAGCTGTGGCATGCATGACAACACCCTCTTTTTCTGTGCCTCCTCTACCCACTGCTCGCTACCGTTGTCGCAGGTATCCGTTCCTCGGCTTTTATTTCACAATGTGCACGTTCCCGGAGACCCTGAAGGCCCTCTACCCCGAGCGGCTTGTGGAGTGGAGGTTCGCTGTGGAGGAAGATCGGCCGGTTCCCATGTTCCTCGGCAGCTACCTCGCGTGGGTGGGAATCTGCATCTTCCAAGGCTGGTGGTCGTGCGCGCTCGTGAGGAGCTACGGCCGCCCTGCCGTCGTGACACGAGACAAAAAGTTCCTGTAACGTTTTTGCGGTGTTTGGCCGGCTTTTCGCAGAATTATCAGAAGGTGGCGGGGGCGGGGTAGTGAGGCAGGAGTATGGCGGTTCGGCGAGCGCGGGCGAAGATGAGCTAGCCCCCCCGCTACTGGGCCTGACTGAGAGTCTTGATGGCCGCCACGCGAAGGATGAATGTGTCCGTGATGGATGTTAGTTGTAAGCACGGGTGATGTTGGTGTTTTTTTGTTTGTTTTTTTACGAATTCGGTGTGACGTCTGCGCGGTGATGCTCGAAGCTCTCTGATCAAGAACAGACCGACCCCGATAGAGCGTTTGTTGCTTGGTTGGTGGAACCCGTACAATCCGGTTGTTTGTGGCTTTGGCCATCGCAGTGCGACGGTGCCGTGGCGATGACGGCGGTAGCGATGTTTCGTATTAGTGGTGATGCGTGGGGCCTTGTAGATATTTGCGTTAATTTAGTGGGAGGCCCGCGTCTTTGGGATGCAAATGCGGGGGGGGCGGAGAACTACCAGGACGTGTTTGGCCTCGGGTGCACGTCCCCCTTTTCGGTCCCTCAATGTATGCTAGCACCGACACATTGTGTCCTCGTGACCGTTCTTATTCAGGGTCAGGGGGTTTGCCTGACATGGGAAATGCACCCAGAGCTTCAGATTGCCGGGGACGTTGGGGGGACGGGACTTGGCTGAACCCTCGTTGTGGTGCGGATTGATTTTTCTCGGCGACGGTGAAGAGTTCCACCCGCCAGGAACAACCTTCCTTTTTTGCCGCCGTTCCCGTCGGCGATATATGGGTACCCTAGCGCGTCTTGAGAAGCGTCACAAGAGCCAATGTCCACGTGATCGAAGTGAAGCTTTTCTCGGCTTGTTTGGCCTTGGGCGACGCCTCTGCACTGAGGCGGAGCGTGGCAGATGTGACGGCCCTTGACTGGAAGCACACCTCATGTTAGCAATCGGTGACATTCCTTGTGTCTTCACAGAGGCTCAGCACACTCAGGCCCAGAGTATGGGTACCAGTCCTTGCGTCTTTTGATGTTGCTTGCTGTGATACAGTTTTTTTTTGTCACACCATGTTTCTGTTTCTTTGAATGTGTGCCTCTACGCCAGGCTGGCCGAGAGGTAGTGAAATGGGGGAGTTAGAGCTACACGGGAGTGATTTCCTGTTTCGCACAACCATGCTTTGTTAGTTGAGTGTGAGAACCGATACGCGTGCGTGTGGCCTTACCGCGAAGGCGCGTGTACGAAGTTGGATCGCGTCTTGTTCTTACCAGCGCGCTCCTCGCAGGTAGTTCAATAGCGAGGCGCTTGGTTCAGGGACGGCAAGTATTTCGCGAAGAAAATCTTATAAAGTACTCGCGTATCATGGATGCTTCTTAGCGGTGTTGCAAAGGTCGGTTTTCCTTGCCGGCCCGGGGGAAAGCATGCTGTTCTGAACGTCTAATCGGTTGTGTCATGTCCACACGCGGTACAAGTGAAGTGGATCTCAGCGGTTCGCTTCGCCCTCGTAAAAATGTGTGCACAAAAGGTAAAACTGCTGTCCTTTGCCAGACATGCAGACACTTTCAAATACATGTCATCTGTGTGTAGACCTATTATTTCACATGCAGCCCATACGGTTAGTTGTCATTCGGGTGTGTAAAGCAACAGGATTTCATCATGAGGTCAGGTGGGAAAGGGAGGGTTGGAGTGCTGGGGGACATTGTTATTTTGTGCTTGTGGAGACCCCCTATTATTGTAGTACGGTGGGTCACGAACAGATTGATAGATGCACCATTTGAGCCAGTTTTTTGTAGGATCAAAAGTGCCACCACCGCATGTGGCAGCGACTTCCATTAACCAAATCGGGTATTGAAATGCGCCGTTCGCCTGCCGGCGGGTGTACCGTCGATATATACTTCTTGAAGTATATATATAAATGCCGCATGCTTTGTCGCAAGCCGGCACGGGCATCGAGCAGGTCAGGGCGCGCACGATCGCCGTTGCGGGCATGTGCATGAGTAGACGATATGATTTTTCACGTCAATTTATGCACACGGGCAGACAGACTGTTCTTGCTTCTTCCGCTACTACCATCAGTTCCACATTTCAAACCACGCGCGATATCGAGGACACGCAACGGCAGGGTGATGATCTTCTGCGTCACCCCAGGCCGGCAAGCGGAAGGCGGTTGTACGTACACCTGTCGCGCACGTTTAATCAAGCGGCCTTGATGAACCGCACTCGCGGCAGCGGTGGTTCTTCTATTGATTCCGATTTACCGTACCACACACCCGAAACTAAGACTCACTCCCGCTCTCTGCTTTTCAGCAGACCCAACACTCCAGAAACTGTTCTGTAAGACTGTTCTGTACATACAGTGAAAGCCGCTCATGCAGTGCTTTCCCCCTACAGCACACAAGTTAAAAATGGGTTGGGCAGGAACCGGATGGACAACTCATGAACTTGTTTTGCCGGAACAAGCTCGTCCTTTGACTTTTTGTCCCAACCATCAGGTTACGCCTATTTGACCACACGTACTCCCCGGCGAAGCCCAAACGAATCTCGTAACCACCCACAAGAAACTGTGTGGTGTTATTACTCGGAGGTGCGAAGGCACTGCAGCCATGCGACGTTGCGAAGGTAGTGGTGGTGGACGTGAGCCCGAACGTCCTTTACGTTACTACCTCATCGCCAACGGCCAACACGAGGCTGCACCCCGGACACCTCCACGCCCGGCACTGCCGGCAGAGTAGCAGGCGAACGTCAGCCGCCGTAGAGAGGCCAACGGCCAACACGAGGCTGCACCCTGCACACCTCCACGCCCGGCACTGCCGGCAGCACATCGTCAGAGTAGCAAACGAACGTCAGCTGCCGTAGAGAGGCAGGCCACGAAAAGTCGCCCGCTGGAATCGGGAAAGCTTGGCCGAACCTCAGATACTGCAATGACTTGGGCCAGGCTACGCCGTGGATGGATTTGCTGAAGTCTTGGCCAAACGTCAGCTTGCGCAACGATGCAGGCCAAGCTGCACGGACGTCGACGGGTTGGTTGAACATGTGGCTGAAAACCAGCTCCTGGAGAGAAGGGGGCCACCGCACGCCGGCGATGGGCTGGTTGAAGCGACCGCCTAGCACCAACTTCTTCAGGGCCACGGGCCATACCACCGCGAGGAGACCTTGGTTGAAGTTCCACCCTAGGGTGAGTTGCTGTAGCGATGACGGCCACTTTACCCTGTTGAGTGCCTGGTCGAAGTGTTGGCCAAATGTTAGTTCCTCCAAGAATGTTGGGAAGCTAACGCGGTCGATGCACCTATTGAATTTGGACCCGAGTACAATCACTTTCACCGATAGCGGCCACGTAATTTGATCGATTTGCTGGTCGAAGCCGCTGCCGGTGACGAGCTGCTGGAGCGAAGCCGGCCATACCATTCTGTCAAGCCCCTTGTTGAAACCACCGCCGAAGGAGAGTTTCTGCAATGAAGCTGGCCACTTTGCCTCGTCAACCGAATGATCGAATGACCACCCGAAGGCTAATTCCTGGAGAGAGGTCGGCCACGCCACAGCGTCGACTCTGTGGTTAAACAGGAGGCCGAAGCTCAAGACGCGCAAATCTGGCGGCCACGAAACACCGTGGAGCGGTTGGTCGAAGTGGTCGCCGAGTGCCACCTGCTGCAGAGATGCCGGCCAGTTTACCGAAGAAAGCGGTCGGTTAAACCTGTTGCCGAAGGTCAACTGCATCAGAGACTTTGGCCAAGTGACGTTGTCAATTGGCTGGTTGAACTCATAGCCAAAGGTCAGCTGGAGGAGCGATGAAGGCCACGCCACGTTCTCCACAGAGCGGTTAAACCTTCCACCGATGATGATCCCCTTTAGGCCACGCGGCAGTGCCACACCGCTCAAGCTATCGTTGAAGTTGGCACCGACGAAGCTGAGGAGCTGCAAGTTCGACAGTTTAAGAGAATCACTCGTGGCGTTCAGCATCGAAGCTGGTAGAATCCACAGCACCTCCCGCGCGTGCAGGGCCGGCACGCGAGACGCACGGCAAACCCTCGCGCTGCGTCGAGCCTGAGGTCCAGAATCCTTGGCCCACAAGTGTCTAGGTGTGTCCGTGTCGATCCTGAGGCGAACGGTCGATGCACTTCGGCAAGCCACGCAGAACTGCAGCGACGCGAGCTGGAGCGCCGTGGTCGACATGATGCATTTTCCCTCGTGGCAGGTTTCGTTGAGGGCGACAACGAAAGCGTCCAAGCACCTGCTAGAGCCTGCCGAAATGCGGGGCAAGCCGAAAATTGGGGCCTGTGTTGGCAAGGTGCTGCGGTTCTTGGTGTCGGCGCGGCAAGCCTGACAAAATACAAAACCCACATCAAAAGATCTCTGCATTGAAAGCCCATCAATAACCCCACATTACGCGTGACGAATTAGACGTTTTCGTATACATTACTAGCGCAAGCGTCCTTCTTGCACATGGTGCCTAGGTCACAGGCTCGATATATTCTCGGGAAGGGTTATTTTCTCTTGGCAGATACAACGCGTGGCCGCCGCCGAGGTCAGAACGGGTGAACGAGACGCTGAACACAACACCAACAACAACACAGACAGCTTAGAGGCATGTTGCCTTCATGAATCGCCCGCCCATCCGTACGAGTCCGGACATCGCGCGATACACCATTCAAAGAAGAGCGGCTGTGAGCCTTGAATGTGCTTGTGGTGCGGGACGAAGGTGCGACGGCGATTGGGAGTTTCCGTGGGCAAGCGAGCACAACAAAATGTGCGCGAAACACCAAAACTCCACCAAAGGAATTTTCCTTTTGGGCGTGTCATCATGCTCACCGACCTCCGAATGTGGACGATCGGAAATGAGTTAGAAACCAGTAACGTGTGGAGGGAGCTGCTGTTTCGTTCGGTTCGAGGGTTTGCGTCACACACACTTTCCACGCTGCTGCCTAAACAAGGTTCAGAGGGAATAATTAAAAACGAAAGGTGAACTAGTCAGCCCCAAACAGTAGAAAACACTTGCGGCGAGATAGAGCATATGTTGAAATGAGCGAAAAATAATTTCAGTGGAGAGGACAACTATCGACCTGCACTACACCCCAAATACTTCCTTGTTCGGATTCATGGTGTGCACAAGCGTGGCCCTTCTTGACACCGCCCACGGATACCGAAGGGTGGTGGATGTCTTGTTCGCGAGATTGCTCCAATGGGCGGTCGCTTGCGTCGTGCGGTACGGTGGATAGCGCTGGTGTATTTCTTCGAGGCGAAATAGACTACAAATTTCTCTCCGTTCGTGTCACGTGCGAATAAAGATAACGGCCAAACTTCTTTTACCCATTTCAGCAATGAAGACGGAGAGAAGGTGGCACACACTCAATTGGCAGATTCTGGTGAACGCTGAGCACGTTCAACGATGTTCGGGAACAGTTCCGGCTTCCTGTTCTTTCAAGCGTACCGCCCCAAGGGAAGACTTTCGATTGGTGCAGGTGTGTGTGTAGTATTACACTACAGTCGTGGCTCCGTTATAAGAGGGTACCTTACAAGAGGGGGCTCCGATATAAGAGGGTCGAAATCGGTTGTCACGGACTCGACTCGCTATAGTAGGGCTACCCTCTTATTATACAGAGTCCGGCTCCTTTTTTTCAGTAGTCCGGTCACCCCACTGTAGAGGGGGGCTACCGCACCATAGGAGGCTTCTAAGTTAGGGACTGTCGCCTTTCACTCACAAAATAACACACGTTCCTCACAACAAACGGCGCAGGAAGAATAGGCCAGAGAGGAGCTGTCAAGGAATAGTGCAGTTTTGGTGAAACTGGTGGCAAATGCAAGGAGGATGATGCGCAAAGATGATGAAAGCAATCCGAAACGAACACATGTATGTGCAAAGTAGCAGCCTTGGGTAAACACGTGCAGCTCTCTACTTGTCATAATCTGGAGAGTAGCTTGGCCCCCCCTCATTGCGCCCCCTCATGGGGTCCCAGATCTTGGCCTTTCGAAGCACTTTCTGTGTTAGCCGCACTGAGACTGACGTGTTTTCATTGGTTAGCCGGTTAGCGCGGTCGATGCAAATAATAAAGGCACAACAAGACACACACGAACACACACACATCGCGGCGCTAAGTAGAAGCAGGGGGGCTGTTTGTGCTAGGCTAGAATTTCGTTCCTTTAGCATACGGTTCAAAACCTGCAGCGCAGCAAACCTTAGTTCACAGTTGGTAGTTCTCCTCTAAACTAAATGTGGGCAAAGTGTTGTGTATGTTTGTGTGCGCCAGGGGCCAGGGGGAGGTAGACCGTTTGTTGGTGCAATACAACATTTACTTGTACCGTTGTACATGGAAGTTTCTCATGGTCGGAGAGGTGTCAAGGAATTGTATGTTGTTTGACTCTGTAGACCATGCGCGTGAACATGCACTTTACCTCCTAGTCAAACGGCTGCGTCAACTTGGCTGCGAGGCAACTAATCTCTGCAGATGCTTCCACTCCTGAATACAAAACGGAAAGCGTTGGAAAGCGTTGCCGATACGATCACAATCACCCGGCTTGCTTTGGGCGCGTGAATTCGGGCAATCAGAGCCAACCACACGTGCTTACACTCCACCACACTACTACATGCTTACACACCTACACGGCATACTGGTGCGCTGTGCCTTAGTCAAAGTGCCTTTGTTGCTCGAGATTTCCCGATTTTCCCTTTGTAAGAGGGGTACGCTACTATGGAGCACCCTCATACAAGAGGGTAACCCTCTTATACCGATACAAGAGGGGGCTCCGATACAAGAGGGTGGAGAGCCGTTATCACACCACCCTCTTATAACCGAGCCACGACTGTATCTCAACGATATCATTGACTTGGGGCAAAAAAAACTTCATCGTCGGGTCTGCAATCATTGTTTGACAGCGAGTGGTCACGATTCTCAATAACGTTTGTCGGACTCTAAGAACAACAATTTCTTCACCAAGTTGCCAAAAGACCCTACGATGTGTTCCGGTGCGGAAGGAAATTCAATCGCACACAACACAACTAACGGAAGGCTTCTCCCGCAATTGTTTTCTTTGACTCAGCGGAGACTTGAAGGGGATGACCAACAAATTTTCCACTGTCATATGGCACATATAGGGAGGTGTTGTCCGGCGGGCATCACTGCGTTGTAAGCAACTGTATTCTGTTGAAAGTGTAAGGACTTGCCACTTGACTGGCCAATTAGAGCTGGTAGCTCCGGTGGTCGACATGGTTAGGATACCGCCTTAGCACTCGTGCCAACCCTGGTGTTCAGTTCAAAATACGCAACCTCTATCCAAGGCGAGTAAAAATCCAAAACGACCTTCCGGCTTGTGGCCGCTTGAGTTTGAACATGTATTCCTGTCGAGGGGATCATAACGATCTGTTGCTGGGGCCGCGCTATCGCCGTGCCGTCGATTGCTGCAGCTGCGGTCCAAAAAATCCGTAGACCAATATCATTCACGATCCACTACTGTACGCGCCGACACAGACGCAAACCCCCAACTGCTGGTCTACAGCAGTCAGTACCTCCCACCAACCTATGCATAGCTACCTGGGACGAAGCGCGGTTCGGGGGATTGGGTCTGCGACGGTGCTGACAGCAGTGGATCGTGCATGGCATGGACCCAACGCGCGGCTCCATGATCTCCTCTTGACGAATATATATCCACGTCGGGCCTTCGCAACACAATTATCTGAGCACCCGCTGTGTGGCCTGTACCGTCTTGAAAAGGCTTCTTGAAGTTTCGCCTGGGATTGAGATGCGGTGTGTGGAGGACAACTACGTACGCGCTGTTGCAGGCAAGCCCCGACCGCTGCTCTGTGTGACATCCACTTCAAACCGGATAGTTTGTTGCGCAATATTTCCCGACTTGTCGTGTCTCGTGTGTGATTACTTACTGCTGTTCATTTTCGGGATCAGGCGAGATTGAAACGCATTGGCAAGAACCCGTACTGACAGCAGGTGGCGAGTTAGAATCTCTCGCGGGAGTGAACGAGGTTACAAGCGATTCGCGCATAGTCAGAGGAGAGGGAGTGCTGAAAAAGGAGAAATAAAAAGAAAGAAGAAAAAAGGCCGGATATTTTTTCCTGTCATGGATACCTGTCTGCTGCGTCAAACATACCGGCCCGAAGTTGACTGCCGCCCGAAATAGATGGCACGAACAAACACACACACAAAAACACGAATCCATCGTTGGCGGAGGCAACGTTGGCCCTTTCGAGCAGCGAATCTGCTGAAAACCCAGCGGTAGGCTTGTGGTTCCGGTCCCCCACACGAGTCCGGACAGATATACGTACCACGGCATTGTTCATTGAATTGCTGTACTGCTCCTACGAAATGTTAAAGACGGCAGGGGCGGACCACTGCTGTGGGAGTCGGCCAGGCCAAAATTGGGTACTGTAATAACACTCCGAGACACTGAACACTCGCCTGGCTGGGCCTGCTCCATACCGCCTCCAACTCTGGTCTTGGTTGCAGCCTATCTGGCTTGGCTTTTTGCTCAGAAACAATCAGCTGCAGGAGGAAGGAGAGCGGCTGCCGAGACGACGAGAGGACAAGAGAGGGGATACAGAGGGTATTTACTTCGGCTGGTGCTCTAATCTCTGCAAGACCTGGTTTGACACCGGGACAACTAGACACTTGTCAGGTGTCTGTGTCAAGCAATGATTGGCATGCTCTCCGCCCACCGCACACCTCCGGGATCAGTACCATGTGCGTCGCCCCCTGGGTTCTCTCGTCTCTCGGCAGGTTCTCTGCTGTATGTTTCTGCCGAACATTTCAGAAAATTCAGGTACACAGCAGTAGCATACTGTAGATAGACTGCCTGATGAGCATTATGACATCAAACAGGGACTACTGCGCCCCTTCGAGTCGTTTCGCAAGTACGTGTAGGGCGATATGTCCTCATGCCACGTGGTACTACCATGTATGTTTTGCGAGGCCCGCGCGTATGAACAGCTACCAGAGCCATCAACGACGTTTTGATTGCCGAAAAAAGCGGCAAGATTGCAATTTCACGGTGTTGTACACTCTGGTAGAAGTAGCAAAATTCTGGTTTGGGAGGATCGCGGTTTGGGAGGATCGCTTGTCGGTGGCCTGGGCCTGACCTGGGCCTGACACCTATCGTATCGTAGCGTAGTCAAGGAATACTATCCAAGTAATTACCTATCAACCCCGAAACAGGAGGCTACAGGCTGA